AGGGTCGTATACCATTCAGCCACTGGGACCCAATTCAATGGCCAGTGCATGAATTCTAACTTCTACCAATTCGTGATTTAGCGCGACCCCAATCATTGTCGTTGGTGGGACATCCATCCACACACGTGACATCTAATTGGACCTCACTGGGTCACGACTTCTCACTAGAACTCCAGGAAACTCCATCCTGTAGCAAGTTACTAGTGACTGAATGGTATACGAGCTTGCTTGCTTGTAACCGGAAGGTCGTGGGTTCGAACCCTTGCGGTGGGTGCTTACTGCCGATCATTCCCAAACTAGGATGAAACAGCAGCTGTCCAGTACTCCCTGGTTTTCAATGGTTCTCTAACTGATATCAATCCGTGATCAACTCGTAAAAAACATAACTAACCCTTACAAACCAAACTATAGAAAATAACTATAAACTGTATAAAATCTAAGTGAAAAGGCATTCATTTTGAAGCGCCTACTCTCATATAATAAATAAATGAAATGTTGGGATACAAACAGATTTTTTTTGAATTTTTGTCCCCTATTCTAACAACAACAAGAACAACAACAAAAATTCCATTGGTTTCATTTTGCATAATAATTATTCACCACTTTAAATGAAATATATGGGGGTATATAGCTGACAGTAGTAGATAGAATATTTAATCGGGTTTATAGACAGAATAAGACGGAGAGAAAGAGGGAGGGCGATAGACATAGACATGAGGCGCTAGTGAAATTTATAATCAACTTCCATAAAATGGAGATTTAAGCACCACCTATGTGCACACATAGATACACACAAGCGCGCACACACACACAAACACGAGCAAACAAAACAGTGAAAATCCGCATAAAAATTTGCATATCTTATTCTTACTAGTACTACTACCACTACTATTATGACTTTTAGTTGGATACTTTCGATTGGACACTAGTTAGTAACTAGTTTAATGTGTCTAGTCCTTTTTTGTTTGGTGCAGACTGAATTCTATCAGTCGAGTTTGCAATGTGGCCACCATGCCTCTAGGTGGCTCGCCAACACGGTGCACTTTGAATTGTTGATATTAGATAGGTTGGAGGCAATCAATAGGCAGGAAGCCTTGCTTCGACTAGGTTTCGTGCTAGTTGGCACTCACCAATCAGTCAGCAAGGCCTATCTGCAACCTTGAAGGAACAACTCATGTCCCTTCTGAGATTCGAATCCACGTGACCAACTGCTGCAGTCAATCAGGGACTTTTTTTCTATTCCTTCACGTTCCCCCGTGGAACATAGGACCTCAAGCTAGTGGCATGAAGTTTCTGTAGCAGTGTTTATTTTACAGGATGGGGTTGCTAGTCTCATGCCCAACCTTTCCTCTTCACCAACATTATTTATGGCTTAGCGAGGTAAAGGAGTGCGTCGGCCGGGGATCAAACCCCGGACCATGTGCATGGTCGGCGAGCGTCCTAACCGCTATGCCACCGGCGCAGTCAGAGACCTTACCACTGAGTTATTCGGTCTCACGATTGATCTCCTGTACGACTGTATTGGATATTTAATACCAATAATTCACAGTGCACCATGATGACGAGCCACCTAGTGGCATGCTGGTCACATTGCAAACTCGACTGATAGAATTCAGTCCGTACCAAAGATGGGACTAGACACATTACACTAGTAACTGACTAGTGTTCAACAAAACAAATATCCAATATAGTCCTAAAGGAAGTCAATCGCCAGCCCGAATAGCTCAGTGTTAAGGTCTCTGACTGACTGCAGCACTGGCTGGTGACGCGGGTTCGAATCTCAGAAGGGACATGAGTTGTTCCTTCAAGGTTGCAGATACGCCTTGCTTACTGGTTGGCGAATGTTAACGAGCACGAAACGTGTATGAGGCAAGGCTTCCTGCCTGTTGATTGCCTTCAACCATCTAATGTCAACAATTCATAGTATGTGGATAGTTTACTAATGATGAATATGAAAAACAATCTAAAAACGTGAGTGAATATCTATTGGTAACATCAATAAAAAGACGAGTTGGTGTGGTGCACAGTTTAGTCAACACACATATAAACTAATTGTTTCGGAAAATGAGTACACTGTACACTGAGGTATATGCTTCGTACCTTTCTATATGGTTGTGAAATATAACCATTAAGAGTGCCATAAAATTAAACGCTACAAGTATTTGACTATCACGACCACAGTTCAAAACACATTTATCATCACTATTAGAGAATGCAAATAACTGACTAATATGTCTAGGTAAGATCTTAGTAACTGTGTAATACTATTATATTATTATTATTGTTCCGTAAGGTTCCTAGCGTGGAACATATGGCTCCAACAGAATGTCTCCACTTTGTTCTATGTCCAGCTGTCTTCTTTACCTAGGCCCATGATTGCCAATAGTCTTTCATCTCCTCCTCACAAGATCTCCATGTCACTCTCGGATAACCCAGTCATCGTTTACCACTCGGATTCCACTCGAGCGTTGGCCTGGTGTGCGATGTCATTCGGTGGTATAGTCAGCATGTGTCCGATCCATCTTCAACATATTTATTGAGCGACAGGTTCTTGGTTGGTTGGTTTGTTCCCAGCGTTTCTTGTTGGTAATTCTTTGTGACAGGCACTCTGATCTTCAACATGGATGTTGCCTGTTGGAAATGCTTCCTGTGACGCACGTGCCAAGTTTTTCACCCATATAGAAGAACTGACTAACTTTACATTTGTGTACAAAATCTGAATTTTGTTCCTGATGCTGAGTGGATTAAGGTTTACAAATTGATTTCAACTTGATGAAGGCGCATATTGCCTTTCGGATTTTGGCTTTAAACACCTTCATCTGTTCCGACTACCTATGGTTGAAACGATGCTTCCTTGGTAAGTGAAGGAAATTATTATTATATTGTTTCCCTTAGTTCCTAGAGGAACACAGGGCTTCAGACGCACGTCTCCATTGCGTTCAGTTCTCTGCAAACGTTTTCACTTGGTTACACGTCTGCCCACATGCTTTCATCTCCTCTTCACATGACCTCCTCCTCCATGTCACCCTCGCACTGACCACCAACTAACTCGTCGCTTCCCATTCGGGTCCCACTCAAGCGACGGCCCGGCGTGCGATGTCACTTGGCGGTTTTCTCAGAGTATTTTCAATCCACCTCCATTTCTTCCAGCACACTTGTTGCACAATTGGTTCCTGGTTGGTACCAATTGTGAAGGAAATAACCTCTGTCAAATTTCTGCTGTTGGTGGTGACTGGTGCTGGTTGTTGTTGCTGTTGATTGATTATCTTCATCACCTCCGACTCCACCTTTTCTATGTTCACCTGGAGTCCTGTTTTCGCTGCCTGCCTTTTCTACCAGTTTGTTGACTTTTACCTGTATATTTTCGAGTTAGTGTTATACTAGTTAGCTAAAAACTCAGTAACCTGGATCACATTCTCCATGTACCGAGCCATAGTTACTTAGTGTGGGTGTATTTAGGTTGGTTGCTGACCATACTACCAAGCTTCCTAGTCTGAAGTACGTAGTGAAGCGATACTGGACAAGAGTGACTTACATTGGCCAAAAGCTAATGAACTATATATGTTAACACTACGCATCATACCAAGTAGAGAATCAGTTTCTCCTCAAATCTCTGCTGGTTGTCTCATATCCTGTTGATTTCTAAGAAATGTTTTCGTTTGACGCTTTACACAAGAAAGTTGAAACATTCTGGCGTAACTCAACCCCTTCTCTTACAATTGATTAATTCATGTAGTCTACCCGTTCTCCTTTATTGTTCCACCTTATTCTTCCTTGGGCACCTCAAAAAGGACTATATCATATCACGCAGAACACTGAAGGCTGTAATTAGGGTTAGTGGTGTGCCTTTGACCCATCTAACTGACAATATTGTCTATAGGCACTTCAATTCTTGCAATCAGTTCGCTAAAGTTATCGTGTCTGATATTGAATATCCTCCTTATTGTTCTCAACTTATTCCTTGTATCTCTGTTCGCGAATAACACCAGAAGAAACTTCATAAGAAGCATTTTCGCTCATACATCTACTAAATATAAAAACTCTACCGTACCACCATATTTAGCACGGGGTTTGTGTGAAGAGAGTCACACGTCAGAAAAGAACTCATAAACTTTTAAATCCGTATTATATCCATGATATTATTATTATTTACAATTCATTCTGTTTCCGCCAACATTCTGTTTTTTGTGTTTTCATTACTATTATTATTATTAATATTTTAGATTTTATGCATTTATATATTTTTAAAAGTAGGTAACTAGTTGCAATATGTATAAAAACGTTGAAAATTCCACTCTGTATAATAATAATAATAATAATAATAATAATAATAATACGGATTAGATTGGTTGTCTAACCGATGTCAGCTCAAGATGAAATCCTGTAACCAACCAATCAACTCCCTACAAACCAATATTTTAGTATCAATGAGATGCTCATTGGCGACTGACCCTATTCAGGTAGGTAGTTACCTGGGGTTCTAGTGGGAATTCGTGACCAGTAGGGTACAGCAAGTCGGGTGTGAGGAGAAATACTCGCCACAGATGACGTTGGCTAGTGGATGCGCTATATCGTAAATTGGCAGAAGTTAGAATTCATGGACTGGCCAGAGGATCGGGTCCACACAGTGGCATAGTGGTCTACGAGCTCGCTAACCTTGTAACCGGAAGGTACTGGGTTCGAAACCCAGGGGTGGATGCGTACTGCTGAAGAGTCCCAAACTAGGCTGACGAAACAGTTGTCTAGTACTCCCAGCAGGTTTTCCAATCGTTCTCTAACCGATATCAGCTCATGATGAAATCCTGTAACCCATCATTATTATTATTAAAATTTCCAAACAAAGATGAAACAGGTGTCCAGTGTTCATCAGTTTTCTCAATGATTCTTACACTGATGTGTCAATTTGTTAATTTGGTTAGATACAATAATAAACGATATTCTTTTTTTTAAAAAAGAAGGGCCTGGAACACATAAAAAGGCAGAGAAATATAAGAACATACCGTCAGAAGATGCGATGTTTCACTATTACCAGTTACAACTGTTTTCGCAGATTGAGTTAAATCCACTATAAGAGGATTTCAAAAAAATAAAACAGAAGTGAAATAATACTCGAAATGACGGAGATAAACATAAACATACTAGGCAAATAAATAAATAAATTGAATAATTGAATCTGAGTAAAATTGAAACCAAGTGACTATTAAAATTTGAGACATTATTATTATTCCCTCGGGTTCCTAGTGGAACATAGAGCTTCAACAACTAATCTCTACTGTGTCCTCTCCAGCTAGCTTGGCCCACGACTGCCCATGATTTCTCATTTTTTTACTCCCCAACACACGATCTCCTCCATGTCAATCACGCACTGACGACCCACTCGTCGCTTTCTCTTTGAATTCCACAATGCCATTCGACGGCCCCCTCAACGTATACCCACTCAATCCATCTTAACTTTCTCCTACATTATTTGTTGAGCAGTTGGCTCATGCTTGGTGGTTTGTTGTCAGAGTTTGAGAAATTAATCAGTCAGAATTTAGGAAATAAGTAAAATGAACGACACGATTGACTAACTGCAATTCAAGATAACTCACAGTTTCCTTACTTCATTTTCTCCTTTAGACTAATGTTTTATGAGTAATTACCTACAGCCTTCAAGTATTGGTTTTGTTGGGATTTTTGTTTGATTGCATGGAGGATTTCATCATGAGCTTACTTGAAAATTAATCTGATGCTCACCAGCGACTAGTCCTATTCAGGCAGTTAACCTGAGGTTCTAGTGGGAAGCCGTGACCAGTAGGGTACAGCAGGTTGAAGATGAGGCAGTAACTCATCGAAGAAGACATTGCGAAATGGTCGAGCTATGTCGTGAATTGGCAGAAGTTAGAATTCATGGGTTGGCCATTGGATCGGGTCCCAGTGGCTTAATGGTTTACGAGCTAGCTCACCTTGTAACCAGAAGGTCCTGGGTTCAAATCCTAGCGGGTGGGTGCGTACTGCTGAAGAGCCCCAAACTAGGTTGACGAAACAGCTGTCTAGTACTCCCAGGTGGTTTTCCAATGGTTCTCTAACTGATGTTAGCTCATGATGAAATCCTCCATACCTACAACCTTATTTAGAATCTTTTGATTGTAACCTGAAATTCAAATCTCAATAACACATCTTTGAAAACATTCATTTTCTACCTAAGATAACAGTGTATTATTAGTGACTATATTGATGAATTCACTGGATATGAGTATATCCGTTGCTACTAGTTACACAAACACACACCTATTCCTCTTGAAATAACCAGTAGATAATGTAAATCGCAAATTGATCAAAATGATGCATATGCCTTTTTCCCGCTAACGAAGTTAGTTTACTATTCAGAGAAAATGCATGTGTTCCACTAAGAATACTCCTGTTGAAAGACTACATATCAGAGTATAGGCATTTTCAATGTTGTTGTATTTTTTCTAAACTGGATGATTTAATTACGGTGTATTTCATATAGTCCTTCTAGACGGCATCTTCAGCTCTGCCTTTGCAATGAAGTAACCACTTTCCCTTGATAAACCTGACTATGACTGATTATCTCCGGAGATATTCTTACAAATGTATTCGCCTAAACCATGTTATTGATCGTTCTACTAAACCTTTTGACCATTTGATTTCCCTACCCTCCCCACTATCGGCTGAACAATTTTAATGTACATAAACATGTTTGCTAAGTGCAGATTGATCAGAAGACTGGTACTAGGTCAAGGTCATTTAGGAAGACGGTTACCTCATTCGTCGTACAGAATTCTAAGTGCTTACACTTTCACCATGAAGACATTGTTGTCTAGACATACAGTGAAAGATCTTACAATTAATCCATCTGCGTTCAGAGATGAGAACCATACAAAAAATATTCATTGAAATGAAATCAATGGTTATTGAATTTCAGTGCTATCCACCAGAAAAGCATCTAGACGATTAGCTAAAGAGTAAGGTGGGAGTAAGGCGTGGAAATCAATAGACGAGACTGTGAAATTACATCGACCGAGATGGTTAGGACATGTGCTACGTATGTCTAGTCATCGCCTTCCTCGACAAGGGGCAATGTTAGCTGAAATAGGGTCAGGCTGGAAAAGAGCTAGCGGCGGTCAAACGAAAACATGGCACCAGTCAATGAAATCCACAACAGTCTAAGCCACGTAGGAAGATGTAGACTTCCTGGTTTGGGGTCCTCGGGAGGGCAAGAACCAATGGTTGGAAACAATTGATGACATGGCTCAAAATCGTTCTCAGTGGCGCAGATGCATCCATTCCTTGTGACTTATGATTTCCAATTAAACTATTTTGTTCTTCGATATGACTATTCTTTTTGCATCATATCTCCTACTTTCTTCTCTTCCTTTGTGTGCTACATGGAGTGTGGCGACTTGAACTGCCGCACATATGTGCAAAGTTCTATGTCGAAAACCGACCGAACGACCGAGGTAAAGAATCTTCATCATCGCTTCAAAGTACAAAACTTTATACACAGAATCAACAAGAAGACTGAACAAGATGAAGAACACGAAGGAGATACCCCCAGGAATTTAAACCGTTATTTGAGTGCACATCATCCTTTTAAGTTTATCAATAACTACTGTTAATATTTTCATGATTCGCTTTTTTGAATCACGGTGTTACGTGGTAGCCATAATGGAACTTCAGTACAGTGTTATGTCATTCAATGATACTGAACACTTGACCAGCACATATATCGATCAATATTTAGAAATCAACAGGTATTTTGGTAATGGCAAGTTCAGAAACACACGTTCCTTGTAGTAATTTGATTGAACGGTTTTATTTTTAGTTCGAGTCCCACTCCATTGTATCTCAACCACAGAAAGAAAAGATAATATCACCAGTCCCTGATTACAATATATTCGACTGACTGATAACGCCCGGTGGTACATGAAAAGACTGAGTGAGTGACTGACTGACTTTCAACATAGAACTTTGTAGAGTGGTGCAGCGATTCAAGTTACCACACTCCATGTAGTACACAGATGTAGAGAAAAAAAGGAGATTTAAAAAGAACTATAATGACCAGAAATGTTCGAGAGAAAGAAAATAGTGTGGCGTGTGCTACTGACAAGATTTATCAGTAGTATATAGAAGTAGATTGATAGGAAGAAGACATAAATGAAAACAACAGCTTTTAAGCCAATGGCTATCTGCAGAGGTAGAAGTGTTTATTCCTCAAATCTGGGTTTAGTTTACGATGTAGTCTGTCAATAATCTCATTGGACAACTTTTCGCTTCAAGGTTTACCCTCCGGAAAATTGACAACCAATCAGAACAGTTTATCATCCTCTGACCTTGCCGACCTTTAGTGTGGCTAAAAATGTATAAAAATGGATGCAAAGGATTACAAAACGTGAATGCATTTGTGCCATTCAGGACGACTTTTGGACATATCACCAATAGTCTCCAGGCATTTGTTACTAGGATCATGAGGACCTTACCTAGGTAGTCTACGCACCCCAACCCCCGTTCACCTACGTAGCTCAAACCAACTACCAAAGATTTCATGAACTAGTGGTAACAGGAGGTTTTGATTTGACCTCCCTCCTCTAACTCTTTTCCAACCTAATCCTATGTCAGTTGACATTGCTCATCGAAGAAGGCGGCGGCTTGGTATGCGCAACACGTGTGTCTTGACCATCATCCATCCCCCCAATCGATGTAGCTGCACAACCTCATCAGTTGACTTGCCCACCTTGAAAAATCTGCCCCTCCCCTAGCCAGCTGATTCCAGTTATATTGAATGCATTCCACATATAGAAAAGAATAGAACGATAGGCACGTAAACACACACACAAAATTAGGACAAGACAATTACACCAATAAGACTTACATTCACTATCCATATGACGAAAGGCTTGTATCTCAGCTAACATTCTATCATTCAAATTATTATTATTATTGTTATTTGTATTCGATGCTAATGAATTAGGGTATAATTCAGGGACATTGTAAATATTTCCATCCAATTTACTACTCATAGTATCAATACAACCACTAGAAGTTGCGGTAGTAATAGTAGAAGTAGTAGTTGCAGTAATATCAAAAACAGCACTGTTATCACAATGACAACTACTGTGGGTGTTATTATTTTTAGTGATATTCACACCGGGATGTATGTCTACTGCTGTTACGGCCGCTGCTGCCGCCGCCACTGGACTACACTGACTGCATAATCCAATCGCTGTTGTTGCTCTTGTTCTCAGTAGTGATGAATCATCAATTGGTACAGTAGAATATACTTGAGCATAAGTACCCTCACACAGTGAATCTGTACCTGAAAAGTAATCATCGACAAGTAGACAATGAGGTGGGGGAGGAGGGGGAGAAGAAGACAAAACAAACGGAGATAAACCAATGGACTATATATAAACTTTATTACTCAGCTATAAAAGTTAACTAACTTGAAATGGATTACAATGACATCGGGATTTAGTACTGTGAATTCGACAGAGGTAGGATAGAATTCTCAAACTACACAATTGCGAATAGTAGATCAGATGGATAAAGTTCTGTGGGCTAATGGAAATGTGTAGGCGGTTATTACTTTCCAGTTAGTTGCCCATACCGTGGAAGTGTTGCATGCCCGCAGAGCCTAAAGGACAACTGCTTGAAGTCAACCATGCACGTTTTGTTCGAAGTGGTCTTTTAAGTTCCGTATTACCACGGGCTACGGAGCACCACAACGTAAATTGTGACGTGAAATTCTCTAATTATATGTATATTCGGAGATTGGCGCATCACAAAAGGTATTTCCAACAGGTTATTACAGACAACTTTCATTAACAGTTGTCTTAGCTGCCTCCATACTGAAGGTCGAATGGCTAGCAAGAAAGTATAAGCGACAAGAAACTCTGGTAACGAAACAACTAAAAGCCTATCGGCCAAGAAATAAACAGAAAGAAATGGAGAGAGATTGGATATACGCTGTGCCAGGCCTCCGAGGACAAATGCATTGTAAGTACGTAAATTTGGTATACCTTACGTCTAAGTCTTTATTTGCACATCATTTGCAAATTGGTCGAATATCACCACACATTCGATAGCTTGTTGGATGATTCTGCACAATGTTTCTAACGTTCTTCTCACAGTTCTCTTTCTCTTCGATTGCCTTTTAACAGTGCCCCAAAATATATTCTTACTATTCTAAATCCGTTTAATGATATGCTACTTATATCTGATTATAAGTAACACTAACCATAGTGTAAAAAGGAAGTGAAATTGTGGAGCCAGGTAAAAAAGACTGCAAAAAACAGGGTGCAATGGAGATGTCCTATATATATATATATAATGGTCTACAAGCTCGACTTCTAACCGGCAGGTCCTAAGTCCGAACCCCATTAGGTGAGTACTGCCGAAGAGTCCCGAACTAGGGAGAATAAGCTTTCTAGTATCTCCAAGTTCTCCAATAATTCTTTAACTGATATCAGCTTGTGATCAATCCTGTGCGCCAGTGGCACAGCGGTTAGGACTCTCACCGATCAAGAACATGGTCTGGGGTTCAATCCCCTGCCAACGCACAGCTGATATCAAGGTCGACCAGCAAAATATGGGCTACCGATATCACATGCTGAAAATTCTATACTTGTAACAAAAACACGGTGTAGAATCAAGCTATGATCAAAATAAAAATAAAATAAATAACCAATCAAATCCCTGCAAATCAATACTTGACACACTCTCATTTCGCAAGCCTCCACAATAGCAAGCACTTTCCTGTTTATCTGTCTACTGACGACAATGAATAACTTAACAGAATCAATATCATGTTCATAGTCTATAAGATAATCTTATTTTATTGTGAACTTTTCGGTACCACAACTTCAGCTATTCTTTGCAACCACTTGAGTAAGTGCTCCATCACGTGAGTAGACAATCTCCTTTTCTCACGACCCATGAATTTACCTTCAAAAAAAACATACTCAAATTGACAGACGCAATTGGAAGTGTGCCGTAATCATTGTTACCTTGGTTTTAACCTCTCATATCTTTTTTTCGCCTTATCTATCTGAACATGACTTGAGAAACATTCACAGATGTTGTTATGCATGATTGGTTCATCGTAGTTTACTTACTTATCAGTCAAATATCTCACAATGTATTGCTTTTAGTAGTATATGTATATCACTTTGTGTCGGGTAGTATTCAGATAAAGAGTTCTGTAGTGCACCTTGAATGTTTCGACTTTTGTTTTAACGCATTTATGTACTATGGCACTACGCCATATTTGTTTCTCCTGCTTGACTGATCGCACCTGGCACGCTCCCTCGTTGTGGTATCATTAAGCGTACTCCTCGAGCTTGCTACCCCAGTCCGTCAACAGACAAATTGTGCACTATTGCTACGTATTAATTTTTGGTTTTTCACTTGTAATATACATATAATTCATAACAGGGCACACAACAGTGCATAAGCCTTCTACCTGGACTTGATTCATCGGTACATACACAGTAGGGAGTGTACTGTGCCGACGTTAAGGCCTATCTGTAGGTCGATATAGGCACTCACAGTTCTATCGAACCTGGATGCTTTATTTAATTCTGTTTTATTAACATATTTATTGCTTGTTACATATATATATATATATAAACATACCTGGCAATTCTGCATACGAGTGTTCAACATGTTTAACAGTGACACGTGAATTTAATTCACTATTATGTTTATCATTTGATGATGATGTTGTCAGTTTCATTCTATTTGTACAATTTAACAGGTCAGCTGATTCAGGGTAAATACGTTCATATTCTGAAGATTCTTGATTCAACTATAAGAGGAGGAGAGAAATATTAATATTAACAATAGTGTGACAATCAATGGTTAAACACGTATTATCTAACATTTTGTTTGTAATGAAAAAAAGCATTGAAAAGTGATCCAAAATTCGAATATACTTGTTCGTTCATGGTCCTGGCAAATAGGAGGCACAAAAAAACCCATGAGGTGCATTTTGTCCTACTTTCCGGAGGATGCAAACGTTTCCATTCTAGTCAGTGATGGAGATGTCATCGAGAGTCAAACTCAGGACTATTCTAGGTATCCTCACTGGATTCCTTACCTGTAGTTATTAATTATTTCATTCAATTTTAGATTTTCCCCTCGATTGACTGAACCGAAGTGCTCGGTCTCAGGTTGACATGTCAGCGGCTCCTTGTGCAGATCCTTCGACGATGTCTGGGCATGTAGTAAAGAAGTTAATTGGTGGATAGTGACTAGCAGTGGAATCCAGGATGCGCATTTCGTCATCTGGATGTACCTGCATTCCCCAGTGAGTAATAATTTTCCCACCTAGGCTCGATACCCAGTGCCCACAGTTTCAAACGCCAAAGCGTTATCCACTAAACCACGAGAGCCACCTCTTTCTTGTGCAACGGGTCATATTAATTATTCAATTGAATTTTAGATTTTCCCGTCGATTTATTGGACCAAAGTGCTCGGTCTATGGGTAGTGGGTTAGAGCCTCGGTGGGAACACCATCAATGACTCACTGGAAAATGCAGGTACATCCAGCTGGAGGACGAGTCCCAAATAGGACGAAATGCGCATCCTGTTGGATTCCACTGCTAGTCGCCATCCACCAATTAACTTGTAGTTATTAATCTTGGAAATATCGAAGCACCCGCGTCCAAGGAAGGCATATATATCAAAGTGACGCTGATTGATTCCATCTACAATGTGATGGAGTAATTGTTGGAAAAATCCCTCCCGAACAATGTCATTACAAAAGTGACACTTACTTAGATGTTTCAACGGACTTTGTGATTATAATCTGTTTTTCTCCTAGACTGTATATCATTGTTCTGACATTTGAATATTATGTCTGTTGTCTTAATCCTTATTATTTGTCTTTGTCCCTGTTTAATCTATAGTTTTAATGCTTCTATTTGTGGCTGTGCTATACATTATGTTGTTTGAACGGCTGCGAGAAGCGATGGTTTGTGATTCTTGTGGATGGAGTTTCGATCCCATCATTGTAGGATTATTCTACCTGATTCTAAGGTACTTCTTACGGTTGAGCTTTGGTTGTCTATTCACTACGCAGAGCCTATCCTGCAGCTAAGCTCGTTCCCGTCTATTGAACGAACAATTTGCTCTTTGGTACAGCCAAAAATCGATAAATATTCTTCTCATGATAATAATTCCAACTGTATATACAAATTTACGTGTATCTGCGGGAGCAGTTATATACATTGGAAGAACACAAAGAAGGGCATATCTACGATTTTCTAAACATGTACCAAAAAGCTTATGTCTAAAGGGAACAAATGTTTTCATCAATGCCACTGCCAGGCATTTCCTTGACATGGGTTATGAGGTGGACGTTGCAAGATCGTTCAAAATTATCAGTAGGCAAAAGAGTTCAATTCTCCTTAAGTTTGCCGAAGCAATCACCATCAAGCGGCTGAAACTCGATTTATGCGTTCACAAAGAAGCGGTTATCAGTCTTTTCTTGCCTATCCTGGTTACGGGATATTTTCACCTTCGCCTTCATCTGATTACGTAGTGCCGAAAGTTTCCATTGTGTATGATCATTATTGCATGCATATATTGATTGATTGATTTTTGTTTAAAAGTGAACTCTGTGCAAGTATGTTAAAATTGCTTCTATAGATATACTTAATAATGACTTTTGGCTGTAAGCAGCTGATGAGAAGCCAACGAAATAAACAATGATGGTACCATTTTATTCTGCAAAAACCACTTTTGTTTTTGCTTTATTCAAATTCATCAAGGGGTAAGGAAAATTTAGTCAGCGATACAGTAAGACGTAAAGATCTGTTTCTTGCGTTTGGAGTACAACAAGTCGGTTTTCGTTGTTACATAGATATAACCACGGGAAGTAGAAAAAAAATCAAATGTGATCCAGTTTGGAAAAGAATACAACACGAATGTAACTGTTCTGAATGTTATTTAAACCACTGAAATTTGATGCAATGCACACTCTACCATTTTTCATGTTTTGTCCACTGAAACGGATATTTTAATCGAGATGCCTTCATTATTCTTCTGCACATATTAAAGATAACGCCGAAAATATGCAAGTGACCTGTGAATGTTTCAGGAACCCTTACATCAACCTCAATCACCTTTCCCTAGGACAATGAAACCACTCCACTGAACAAGGGATATATTATTTAAAACAATTAGCGCCTTTGATAAATTTGAATAAGGCATTAAGAAGACAAATTTCCCGAGATGATATCATTTCGTAGTTTCTTTACAACCGCTTTACAACTAACATGGTTAACAATAATAAAATAAAGATCATGACAACTATTCAGTTATACAAAAAACGAAAGCACATACTAATGACCTATCATATTTAAATAGGTCAAGTAGTTCATGGTAGGCGAAGGTTGATATATTATTTGCTAAAGCTTCAGCTATGCATATAGAGAAACCTGAACTTTGCATACAAAAAGGAATACCTTGTTCGTTTTCAACCGATTCTATTCTGAAACTTTTTTCAACCCTTCCATTTTTCCTGATTCTTAGGTTATATCATATTTCGTTTGCTTATATGTACATCAAACCAAATCCTGGGGTCAGTCCATGAAGTTTCTGATAGCTGGTTTGGGCCAAGCTGGGCGGAGATATGACTGAAAATCATTCCTCAATAGTGCAGATGCAATCGCTGTTTGTGATCTCACATACCCATGAAACCTTCATGGTCTTCCATGTTAATGTTCTTTCTGCTTCACATTTCTGCTGAATGCAGTCCTTTTGAATCTCTTTTTCTCCCCACTTTGTGCGCCACTTGTGCTGCACTTCTGTGCAAAGTTGTATGTTGAAATGCAGTGTATAAGAACACTGATTACAACTCATTCTTATGGCTGTGAGACCTGGTCATTGAGAGTGGAAGACACCAAAAAACTGGCCACCTAACTGTTTTTAATCATAGCTACCTGCGTTTTAACTTCCATGTGAAGTGGTATAATAGGGTCAGGAATAATGAGGTTAAGCGTCGATCGTGTGCCTGGCAGGTGGGCGGGTAAATCAATAGACGAGGCTGTGAAGTTACATCGACTGAGATGGTTAGGACATGTGTTACACATGTATCCCTAAGCATCACCTTCCTCGACAACGAGTAATGTTAGCTGACATACGGTCAGGTTGGAAAAGAGCTAGTGGTGGCCAAACCAAAAAATGGCTTCAGCAGTCAATGTAATCCACAACAGTTAGTTTACGCCACGCGAGAAGGTGTAGACCTCCTGACTGGTTGGGGTCCTTAGGACGGGAAAAACCAATGAAGCCTAGAGACAATTGGTGTTATAACTCAAAATCGTTCTCAATGGCTGGCGCAGATGCATCCACTTCTTGTAACTTACAATATGCAGTGAAACTATATGTTTCTTAGATATTACTATTCTTTTTGCCTTATATCTCTGCTTACTGTCTCTGTTTTGCATTTCTCTTTACTTTCTTCTCGTGCTTTGTGTGCTACATGGAGTGTGGTGACTTGAACTGTCGCACATCGGTGCAAAGTTCCATGTTGAAACCAGTCAGTCAGTCACAACTTATTCATTTTCGTTTTAAACAAAGGCAGAATGAACATGATATTAGATGGTAAGAGGCAATCAGCAGGAATCTAAGTTTTGTGCTAGTTGGCACTCACCAGTCAGTCAGCAAGGCGTATCTACAACTTTGAAGGAACAATTCATGTCCCTTCTGAGATTCAAACCCGAGTCACCAACCATTGCTGTAGTCAGTCAGAGACATTACCACTGAGCTATTCAGGCTTGCGATTGACCTCCTGTAGGAATGTATTGGATATATAATGCCAGAATGGTGACTACATTGCAAACTTGACTGTAAGAATAAAGTCTGCACCCAAACGAAAAAGGACTAGACACATCACACTAGTTACTGACTAGAGTCCAATTAAAGGAAAGACTGAACATATATGCAGGATAATACAACACTATTTATTATCTCATGGATTCTTTTCAACTGTGCACTTCTTTTCTCACAGTGTGTAACCTCGAGTTATAAATAGATAAGTATAAGCAACATACTTCCACAAATGATGTAAGTAGATAAAAAAACTATGTTAAAAGAGTAACTATATATAATTAATTATATAATTAGACAACAGGTAATGCTTATATGTATTGTCTATTTATAACACTAGAGGTCACTGTGTGAGAAAAGACTTACGCTGTTGAAAAGAATTCACCAAAATAAAGTAAGCTCATATTCAACTTTTCCAATCCATCGATTAAGTATTAACAAATATGTTTCTGTATGGCGGAGTAGTGGTACAGTGGGCAATCCCGGTTTCGAGTCCCGCCCCACCTACCTCAGCCTGGGTAGCATTGCACCAGCCGTCATACAATAAGTGTGTGTGTGTTTGAAAGCCCCATAATCCGGTACATAGACTGAGTTCGGAAAAATATGTTTCTCAATCACCACTTATCTGCTTGACTATTAATTGGTTTTGTAAGAGGAGAAATTGTGCATAAATGGGATTGTATAGATACACAGAGACAAAAATGAAATCGCCGAAGAAAGTCTTTCCAACAGACTATTTATTTTTTTTATTTTACATTTCACAAATGACTGAATGGAGATTATTCACGAATTAAGATGCAGTTGATTCGTTGTACAACCACAGTTTGGATATGATAATCGAAACGATTGAACATTTAACGATTGAGAAGCATTGAAAATGAACCCAGAGACATCAGCCGACCTGATGACACCACTACTAAAGAAGGTGTGGAAAGAGGGCAAGGTACCTGAGAGTTGGGGGAAAGACTGCATATCCAAACTGTCAAAGAACGGAGACTTAGGTCAATGCAAGTACTGGTGCGGCATTATACTCCTGTCCATCACAAGTTAAATAGTAAGCCTCATCATCCTGGAGAGAATCAAACACGCTATGAGTGAAAAACTTCGACCGGAACAGGCTGGATTCAGCAGAAAACAAGTCATGCATCGATCAAATCGCAACACTACGTATCATCATAGAAAAGAGCTTGGAATAGCAGTCAGCTTTCTACTTCAACTTCATCGACTTTGAAAAGGTCTTCGTCATTGTCGATCGAGAGGTGATTTGGAAACTACTTCGCTACTACCAACGGGTGCCGCCAACAATTGTACGCCTCATCCAATAGTTGTACGATAATGCTGCATGCAATGTAATCCACAACATGGAACTCACGGAATCCTTCGAACTGAAGATGGGAGTAAAACAAGCTGGCTGCCTACTATCTCCAATGATTTTCGTGATTGCGGTAGACTGGATAATGCGACAGACATTTAGCGGGTAACGAGGAGACAGGCATAAGACAGACCCACACAAAAACTTGGAGGATCTGGATTTCGCTGATGATATACGTCTGATTTCCACAAACTGGAAGATATGCAAGTGGCAAGCAACAAGTTAGCAAAAGAAGCATCAAAGGTAGAACTTCACTTTAGGTGAACATAGAGAAAACAGACGTAGGTGATGAAGATTCCTGGGCAACACCACCAACAGCAACAACAACAACATTAACAGACAGCAATCAGCATAAACGAGAAAAATTTGAAAGAAGCAACCTCCTTTACCTAACAGCCAACCCGGGAAGCATCGTTTCAACGACAGGCGGACGGACCTGATGACGATATCAAAGCGAGGATCGGGAAAGCAAGGCAAGCAGTCATCACTCTCAAGTCTGTGTGGAGATCAACAGCACTCAGCATGAAAAATAAGATCCGGATTTTCAACTCCAATGTGAAGTCAGTGCTAATTACTATACGGATCAGAGACTTGGCGCGTCACGAAGAGCACTTCGAACAAACTACAGACCTTCATCAACAGCTAGCTGTCTTCGCTTAATACTACTCAAGATCAGATGCCCCGGAAGAAAAAATCAGCAACAGGAAGGGATCTCTGGTAATGAGCGAACCAACCAACGCAGCAGGAACTAATTTTGCAACGAATATGCAGGAAGAAATGGAAGTGGACTGGCTATACTCTGAGAAAAGAAGCCATTAAGTGAACGACATCACACGCCAGGCCATCGCTCGAGTGGAACCCGAACAGAGAGATCAGAATGCGCAATGGAGACGTGTGGCTGAAGCCCTATGTTCCTCTAGGAATTAAACGAAACAATAATGATACGACGCGTGTGTTACGCTTGCGCAGCCATCACCTTCCTTTTCGAGAAGTGTAATTCGAAATAGGACTAAATTAGAAAAGTTACGGGGGGGGGCAAATTAAAGCATCGCATCAGTCCATGAAGCTTTCAGTAATTGGTTTGAGGTGTAGATCGTCTGGTTGGGATTCTAAGAACCAATAGTTTGAGACTGTTGGTGATATGCTCCTGTGGAGCTAGGTATATCGGTCGTTCGACTCGAGTTTTCTCCAAGAGGGTGCAAGAACACTATGCTGCATGGTAGTTACGAAGAGGTGGAAGTGGAGCAATACGAAGCGCGATCATTGAATATCCGGCTGATAATGATCACCCTATCTCTATCAACAGCCTCCGCCTTTAAAGTCATCTACAAGGTGAAAAGTAATTTACCCATATCACTGCGTATCAGACTCATCTGCTGCATTGCTGAAGCTTTGGCTATCGAAACAGAAAAGCTAGATCTCTGTGTACAGAAAAAGTCCGTTCAACCCCTCCAACTTTCATGGTCTTAATCCCTCTATGCTAAAGTACGGTAATCCATAATCATATTTTGGCTCTACAAATTTTGTCGTTTTGTATATTCAATTTGTATGGTCTTCCTTTATTAGGCCGATTGTTGCTATTGTTTTTTTTATTATTGTCACTTTGGACTGTCCCCTGTATTATTTCACTCGTTCCACTTGTCGTTCTAAATCAATTCTGTTTTGCAAGGTTAAATTCTATGTTATCAAATTTCACACAATGTTGCGTAAAAATTTTATTTTATTCGATTTGTCTACTAATCTTATAATTGCACACCCTTTTCAAGTTCTATCCATCCTATGAATTATTTTATATATGACATTAATTGTTTTGCCACTTGACATTTAACTATGATTATAATCACTACCATTTTAGTTTTATTGAATTTCATAATACTATTATTATTGTATGCATTCACACCTATGATTCAATTCCCTAACCGGATATAATTTCTTAAATAAGTCCATATTTTTACGATTGTACAGCTTGATAATAAATTTGTTGAAAAGAGTCTCTTCACTGAATCACCACTTGTTTAGATTTTCTATATATTTAGAGTGCGGGGATTTGAAGTGTTGCACTTCTGTGCAGAGTTATGCGTTGAACCTCAGTTAGCCAGTCTTAGAATATGCAGAAGACATAGTCCTGTTAGGGGAGGATGCTGACAAAATGCAGTCTTCTGAACACCTTCAGCAGCAATCTTCGTATGTTTGGCATGCGATTCGCCCCTGTGAAATGTAAGATGCTGCTACAGGACTGAACTACGTCTACCTCTAGCTTAGTGATAGGGAGTGAAGTAATAGAACATGTTGACCACTTCACCTATTTGGGAATTTGTATCAGCACCAACGGGTTGATTGGTGACGAAATCTCAGCACGGATCCAAAAAGCTCGAGCTGCTTTCGCTAACTTACACCGTCTCTGGCGTAGGCGTGACATCCGACCATCAACCAAGGGACGTGTGTACTGCTCAGCAGTTCGCTCCGTCCTTGTCTATGGCTCTGAAACATGGCCAGTACGAGTTGAAGACATCAAAAAGTTGACTGTTTTTGATCATAGATGTTTACGATCTCTTTCTCACGTTAGGTGGTATAATAAGATAAGTAATGTTGACGTTAGGCGTAGAGTGTTAGGCAAAGAGGGAAAATCAATCGACGAGGCTATAAAGTTACATAGATTGAGATGGCTAGGTCACGAGCTCCGCATGCCTAACCATCGCCTCCCCCCCCCAACGGACGGGCATTACTAGCTGATATAGGTGCAGGTTGGAAAAGAGTAAGTGGTGCCATGCCAAACAAAAACATGGCCTCATCAATCCATGAAATCCTTGACAGTTAAACTGAGTCAGATGCAGACTTCTGGGTTGGGGCCCTCGGGACTCTAAGAATCAATGGCTGGAGACAATAGGTGACATGGTTCAAAATTGTTGTCAATGGCCTTCGCAGATGTATTCAGTCTCTGTAATCTTTCATATTCCTTTCTACCATTACTCATTCTGTTTCACTCTTATACATGTCAAAACTCTATTGGTTCTCTTCACTCACTTTCTTGTTTACCTTTGTGTGCTATTTGGAACGTGGCAACTCGAACTGCTGCACTTTGGTGCCAAGTTCTATGTTGAATCCAGACAGACAGACAGACAGTCAGTCATTCAGTGAGTCACACATCTAACGATTAACTTTGGTCATTTTTTGTTAATTATTAAAATCGATTACAACACATTCGGGGCTGATATTGTTAACACTGCCTTTTAAGACTAAAAGTGTCATATGGGTAAAAAGATAACGAAAATAGGGAACCGACTCCCCCATCTCCGCAGCCTCAACCGCTCACACACCTCTACACATACGCATACAACTTACATCAGTAATATCAATACTTCCATGATCATGTTTTATAATACTGTACAAAACTGGTAGGGCATTTCTAGCGCGTAAATTAGCCAATGACTCTCGAACGCTGATATGACGATAATTCGATTCTAACAAAGGAGGAGGATCTGATTGACGTACATTGGGACTGCATCCACCACCAGTATTACTGTTACTTCCACAAGCAGAGCCAACACTGCCACTAGACTGTTGATGATTATTGATTAGTAATCGATCGTTACGTGGACTATTGGATCCGACGAGAAGAGTTTTCTCTATAACAAGAAAGACGAAAAAGAGGAAGAGTAGATACTTGAAATTCAACAGAAATGAAATTAGCTTAAAAATTCCCATTGAGTCATATGAAAAAGAGAAGATGTTCAGCGAAGAGACTCTTTTCGACGGCGAATTCATTCACATATCTGTATAAACGCATTTATATATAATTATTTTCGTATGTGTGTGTTTACATGAGGTTTGTCAAGTTTAGATAATTAATCAGGTAATACAAGAATGATCTAATATAGAAACAAGGTTAATTAGACAGTCACTAAAGTAAGATTGAGTTAGTCAGTTAGATGACGTAATATGACTGACTAAAATGTTTCAATCTAGGTCAGGATAGCAACAAAGGTCATTACAGATAGAGACGCAAATTGAGCAGATAAATTGGATGATGTAACATAAATGACTAGAAATAGAGCGTTGGTCAAGTCATTAACAGTAGTAATGAAGTGTAGAAATTAAATCGGGTGGGGGTAGAGAACAAGAAAGTTAAAAATATAAAATATTACAATTGTAAAGACAAAATAGTACTAATGAAGAGACAGAAAGAAATAGAATTAACCTGTCGGGTATTAAGACAGATAACGTCCATTGCAAGTGTAGTGATTGAACGAACTTCTTCTATATACAAAGTTGACGACTTAGCAAGTGAATTGCGATTGCTTCTGCAGTTTGAAGAAGTCTGGTTCGTACACTTTTAGGAAGACTGCTTCGTATTCTGTAGACGACTTTGAAGTTTGTTTGGGGTGTAGCTTGGTGTCCGGAATCTATCAGATGTTCTAAGATAGAGCTGCAGGGGCATCGTTTTTCTCCTTTGTAAAACCATGCTGGTAAGTGTTCGGTGATACGTTTGGAAAGCGAACGCTGGGTACGGCCGACATACCTGGCTTCCCCACACGAGCAGGTGAATTTGTAAACACACATTGATGAGGCCAGCAGTGGTAGCTTATCATGCACGTTCACATGAATCATAGGTATGGTGGAGAAGGTTAGTCGTAGTTTAGCTGCGAAGAAGGTTTTCTAAAGTGAGCGCAACAGTCGATTTTTCAGTGTTTCCGCAGATATATCTCCATTGAATTGAAGGTTCATGTAGGGTAGTTTTTTCGAGACGCTAAGCGTGGGCGGTCTAGGATTCATGGATTTTGCAATAAATCGTTCTGGATAACAATTCTCGACAAGGATTCTCTTGAGATTGTCAAGTTCATTTTCTATGGTGTCCGGGGTACAAATTCTACGAACTCCTCTGTAGCTGAGTGAACGGATCAGGTTTCGTTTGGTATATAGAGGTGCAACGACAGAAGGCAAGAGTCAGGCAACAGATCATTTATTAAGGAAATCAACGCATATTTATATGTTTTCATGTACATTACTACGGATACGTAAACAAACAAATACAGTCTTCCGATTGGTTGTTTCTCACAACAAATCTTGGGAACGTAAATATTGACGTAAATTACTGTCTACCAATTTGGCTAGCAGACAGCTCTCACCACAGAGGTACTCAACTGTGAAAGTTGGTAAGCTGTTCTTTCCACGTCAACTTTCTGTAGATAGATCTTTTCAGTTCCAACAAGGAATAACTATATAGGTAACCGAATAAATGTGGGAGATTGAAAAAGACGGATAAATGTCCATACTAAAAACATAATAAACCATGATGCTACTGGATGCGAGGAATTCTACGAAGGCGCCATACACCATTAGCTTGGGGAGGCCATGTTTCACAAACGTTGATGAAGGCAGAGTAGACTGAAGTGTTGCTATCTTGACCTTTGATAGCCAGTCTAACGTCATGACGGCGTCAGAGGCGGTGGTCTTTCATTATACGATCAGAGAGCTCATCTGTCACACTGTTATAACTGAACTGAAGTGAACTGAATAAACCCCGAGGTTACTTTGTTATGTCTGCGCTTGTTAATTATTATAACGGTAATGAACTCGACTGGTACGCTAAAATACGTCTATTTGTCCGTTGTACTTTCCAATTCACTGAGCCACGCAAATATCAAAAGACAAAGGCTGACACCTGTGACTGTAAGATATTGTATTATCGTGCATCTATTACGAAACAAAGCATCATATTTGTATACTTAATTTATCACAATACAGTTGGTTCACAACGGTGGGAATGGACTGTTCTTACTGGCTGGAAATGTCTAGTCTGATTGGTTGGTGATCCGAAAAGACCAGGGTGAGACAGAAGACGATGAATTGATCACACACTAAATAACAAGCGTGAGAAATGATAGATCAACATAGTAACTCCATCACAAGATAAATCACGTGATTCGTGAGAAAGGATGATATACTATTTTATGCTGGGTCCTATCACACACCTTCTCCAATACTCACACAATTATCAACATACACAACCTTTTCGACTACTTCCAACGGTTCATCCTTCAGTATGGGTGAAAGTAAGTACAGGCTCTTACAGTTAAACAACAGAAAGCACATACAATGCTCACAGACATTGAGAGATATAATCCGAATCATCAGAGGCACCAGGCGATAACATCAGATACAGTCGAGAATTGCAATCAAGAACAGATACGCTGCGATCGCCTGCTCTAGTTCTCTTACTGAAAGTAAGACAAAGTAATCAATGCCCCCTAAATACTCTTTATAAGTATCATTGCCTGTTTTTACGATAGTATACCTCACTTATACAACCTTTATCCCATATTATGTGTTTTTAATTGCTTTTGTATGGCACTTTTCGTGATGCCCATATACTTTACCATTGTAAAAGACAAGAGACGTGGTAAAGGAAAGTTCCTTAGATGGATGGAGGCAATCAATCGACAGGAAGCCTTGCTTCACCTAGGTTTCGTGATAGCTGGCACTCACCAGTCAGTTAGCACGGCGTATCTGCAACCTTGAAGGAACAACTCATGTACCTTCTGAGATTTGAACTCGCGTCACCAGCCAGTGGTGCAGTCGGAGACGTTACCACTGAGCTATTCGGGATCGCGATTGACCTCCTGTAGGACTGTGGTGGATATTTTGATTGACTGACTGCAGCACTGGCTGGTGACACAGGTTCAAATCTCAGAAGGGAAATAAGTCCCTTCAAGTGTGCAGATACGCCTTACTGACGAAACCTAGGTCAAGCGAGGCTTCCTGCCTATTGATTGTCCCCAACCATCTAATATCATCAAATCAATGTGCACTGTGATGGCAAGCTACCTAGAATGGTGGCCACATTGCAAACCTGACTGATAATATTCAGTTTGCACATCACACTAGTTACCAGTGTCCAATCAAAGTAAAGCAAAGTTTATTTGCAATTCGGTATCTCTGTATAGCGAAATCAAGTACATCTTTTCTTCAATGCACTATTTACACAAATCTTCCGCACTGCGCTACTTCTGCCCTTCACACTGCGTTTCTTTGTGTTCCCTTCACGTCTTTCATGTATCTCCTCAACGGTGAATCATTTGCTTTCTCTGACATCGAATCTATCTCCTTGCTATTTGTTATTTTTATGACGATGAACGTCTCTTTATATATACTACTCATAAATCTTGTGAGTAGTACCTGCCACATCATGTTTGAGTTTCAAATACCCTAATAGATTACATCTATTTGGAGTAATTCTGATACTTTAGTCTCTTTAGGTTTCACAGTAATAAAATTATTTACGCTCATGAAGGTACAGCTACTACTACTACTACTACTACTACTACTACTTAATGCTGTGTCATGTACTACTGATACGATTTATAAGTAGTGTATATAAATACAGATATTATAAATATGTATATTGTCTGCAAGAATATCGAATATAGCGGAGAGATCTTCGATTCAACGGCGAAACAGAGAAAATGAACATGGAAAACGTGTAGAAGGAAGACACAAATAGAAGCACAATATGGAAGACAAAACATATTTTTGATTTGACACTAGTGTGATGTGTCTAGTCCTCTCTTTGGTGCAGACTGAATTCTTACAGTCGGGTTTGCAATGTGGCCACCATTCTAGGTAGCTCGCCATCACGGGGCACGTTGATTTGATCATATTAGATGGTTGGAGGCAATCGGCAGGAAGCCTCGCTTGACCTGGGTTTCGTGATAGTTGGCACTCGTCAGCAAGGCGTATCTGCAACCTTGAAGGAGCGAACCAACCAGGAACCGATTGTGAAACAAATAGGCAGGAAGAAATGGAGATGGATTGGCCACACTCTGAGGAAACCAACAAGTGACATCACTAGACAAGCCATGGCTCGAGTGGAACCCGAAAGGGAAACGACGAGTTGGTCGTCCAAGGGTGACCTGGAGGAGATCATGTGAAAAGGAGATGAAAGCATGTGGGCAGACCTGGAGTGAGGTGAAAACTCTAGCAGAGAACCGAACGCAATGGAGACGCATGGCTGAAGCCCTATGTTCCTCTAGGAACTGAAGGAAATAATAATAATAATGAAGGAACCCATGTCCCTTATGTCCCGCGTCACCAGCCAGTGGTGCAGTCAGAGACGTTACCACTGAGCTATTCGGGCTCGCGATTGACCTCCTGTAGGACTGTAGTGGATATTTTTGATTTGACACCAGTAACTAGTGAGAAGCTAGCACAATACTGAAGATGTGTGTGTGCAAATTGTAATTCTAATATAATGATAGACACAAAGGTATTTTGACTATATCTGTACATCAAACTGCCAGTAAGATATTCCGTGTTACCAAATTCTCTTGTGTTCTGTCGTCACATTACGACAACTACTACTACTTTATCTGATATGATTCTGTGTTCTATGCCTCTATAATAATTATGTTAGTCTAACATACCAGGGCATACATAAATATGCATTCGACAGATAAAGACCAATATTTTTATAAAAGATTGATGTTGGCTATATGCGCCATAAAAAAGGACTGCAGTATTCTATCCTTCGCGCTATTCCTCCTCCCCTCTCTCTCTCACCCTCCTACCACCATATGAAAGAAAGATGCAGTAAAGAATGACAGCTGGAATAGTATACTAGATTCAGTGCATATGATAATAATAATGCCTGTCTCCATCCTTTTAAACGTGACAACTGGTATATGTGTGAGTCATATGAGATAGACATATATATATATATATATATATATATATATATATATGAATTCAGGGGACCAGAGATAGGAAATAGTCCATCCTTATGAATAGTATGAATTGTCAGGCTTCAAAATAACCCACATTTTACAACAACAATATGAAGAGGAAATAATCAATAATTGGGGGATGGGAATTATACGAGGAGAAAAGACAATAAGATTAAAGCAATAGCGTCAAACAAGACATTTTTGTGACCTAGACTTATAAACGCATTAATAGTTCTTCAAGACTCGATATACTACGACCACTACTACTACTTTTCGATACACAAAGCGCTTGGCTTCAATTTTTGGATCACTGCTAGTGCTTCAGTTATGCTAAGATGTCTCTTGATCTCACTCCCTTTGAGAGGTGTGATCCGATCTTGTGTATAGGGCTTTAAAGGATTTCAATATAACCAAAAAATATTCATTCAAACAACTATAAAACACATCTGTAAAACACACACAAAACACAAAAAACAATCAGATTGCATTTGTATTTTAAGGGCACGAAGCTGAGGAGGAAGCAAAGAACATCCTGTCTGGATAAATTTAACGAGGTTCATCCTGCAATAAATTTTACTATTGAGAAATAAAAAGGGCTTTAGTATTTCATTTATAGACATCCTTATGACTAGAAAAGAGGATGGCACAATAAGAAGAAGTGTATGTAGAAAACCTACATCAACTGACTGTCAGTATACTCATTTTTCCAGCTTCGTGCCGTTGAAATACAAACGCAATCTGATAAAGTACTTGGTCCAACACAGAGTAAGAGCAATCTGCTCGGATGAGTGTCTTGATAAGGAACTTAATAGTATTAAACGGTTGCTGAATGAAAATGGTTATCCAGAAAAGTTTATTGATAAGAATATGAATCTAAAATCAAAGCACCACAAGGTAGTAACAGTTCCTAAAAAGGCATTATTCTTACAAATGCGGTTTCTCGGGAACAACATCAGCGAGATACTAACAAAACGGCTTAGGAATGCGGTAAAGACAAGAGCATTCCCTGCTGCTGAATTGCGCTGCGTCATCAAAACCACCCATTCCTCTTTTGTGCTCGCGAGTAAAAGACAAACTGCCTAATTTCGCCTCTTACATGTGTATCTACCAATTTAACTGCTCCTGTGGAGTGAGCCAGTTACATAGGCCATACAATTAGGCGTGTTTCTCGTCGGATTTCCACACATCACCCTGCAAAGTGGTTAAGTAAAGAACAAACAAAATTTAGCGCTATTCTATGTCATCTTGAGGATACAGAACACAAGATTGATGTTAACGAGGCGGCTTTCAAAGTCATTTACCGCATACCAACAAATCTTAATTTCACCTTAAGAGTTCGACTACTAAATATTGCTGAGGCTGGCTGTTGGGATCCATATTAAGAAGGCTAATTTATGCTTCCAAAAGAGGAAGCTAGTTCAGACATTATCCTTACCTTGGCCATCTAGGTTTGAATGACCCTGAATTTTTGTGGAATTTTTCTAATTTTGGTTGATATTCTTTGCTACTATATCTTTATTATCATAATTTAAGCATCTTTATTATTATTAATCCCTTGGGTTCCTAGTGGAACATAGGGCTTCAACTGCACGTCTCCACTTGCTTCTGTCTTCTGCTGTTCTTTTCACTTGCGTCCATGTTATTCCATACTGTTTCATCTCCTCCTCACACGATCTCCTCCATCTTTAATGAACTGTAATTCCATTGTGATCTTACTTTACAAATCGATATTATTTAAAAAACACGAATATTGTTATTGACTACTATTCTAGAATATTCTATGTATCTAAACATATATATATATATAATTCTAGAGCCAGAAGAGGAAATTATCGAAAAGGATATTCTTTGCTCAATTATTTTGTGTTTCAAAGGGTTTCTCAAATAGAACTTAGCATACTAAGTTCATCAGATATCCTGTTACCAAGCCATAGAAACACTTATTTTATCTCTTTTAGCTAACCAGATAGCCCACTGAAACCTCAATTCCCCTTTAGAATTAGTTTCTTTATTCTTGATATCCGGTTGTTGATCAAAGAACGTGTGTAATGCACAGCAGTTCGCTCCGTTCTTCTTTATCGTTGTGAGTAACACATGGCTATTGAAAGTGGAAGACATGAAAAGACTGGCTAGCTAGCTGTCTTTGTTCATGGGTGTCTACGGCCTATCTCCCATGTTAGGTGGTATATAGTAGGGTGAGCAATATTGAGGTGGGGAATTGGTCGAGTGCTAGGTACGTGGAGGAGAAGCCTTATTAACGAGGTTTTGAAGTTACAGTGATTGAGAGAGATAGTTAGGACATGAGTTACACATCCATCCCTAGCTGACACAGGATGGATCAGGTTGAAAAAGAGTTAGCTAGTGTGGTGGTCAAACTAAAACATGGCTGCATCAGTCAGTGAAATGCATAACAGTTAGTTTAAGCCAGCCAGCCAGGCACGTCGGGAGGTGTAGACTTCTTGACTGGTTGATTTGAGTCCTCAGGATGGTGAAAACCAAGGGCTGGAGACTACTGGCGGTGATATGGCTCAAAATCCTCGTTCTCAATGGCTGGCGCAGATGCATTAACTCTTTGTGATTTGTCATATCCAATCAAAGTACTCTATTGTTCTTCCACTTCCTGGTTGCAGTCCTCGGGACGGTAAAAACCAAAGGCTGGCAACAATTAGTGATATGGCTCAAAATCGTTCTCAATGGCGCAGATGTATCCACTCTTTGTGACTTATTATTTCAAATGAAACTATATTGTTCTTCGTTATTACTATTCCTTTGTCTCACACCTCTGTTTACTGTCTATATTATCCATTTCTTCTACTATCTTCTCTTTCTTTGTGTGCCACATGGAGTGTGGCAACTCGAACTGCCGCACATCGGTGCAAAGTTCTATGTTGAAAACAGACAGAGACAGACAGACAGACGCACAGTCAGTGAGGACGTTATCGCAAAGTTATTTGAGCCTGCAACTGCCCCTAACTATCATCACTCTTTAAAGTGAAGGAGCAACTTCGCTTCTTTTTACTCTCTTTCTCTCTCTCTCTATAAAACTAGTGACAAATACATAAAAAAAAATCTTTTTTTTAAAAAACAATTACATTACCTTTATGTATTGAATGTGCTGTAAGTATTTTACATTCAGTTGATGGACATATGGTATCCAACTGGCGAGAGCATGTTCGAATTTGATTCACTAAATCTATCTCTGCTTGATCATAACATCTGGCTGGAATTGGTGGTCCTTTTGATTTCATGATACATTGAGAACAAACACACACACAAAAAAGAAAGGAACTATCAGTGGGATATACAATGAGTTAACTTTAACATAGACAAATATAATGAGTATTCAAGTATTGGTTTCTAGGGATTTGGTTGATTGGTTACAGGATTTCATCATGAGCTGACATTGGTTAGAGAACCATTGGAAAACCACCAGGAAGTACTGGACAGCTGTTTCATCCTAGTTTGGAACTCTTCATCAGTACGCACCCACCGGGGTTCGAAACCAGGACCTTCTGGTTACAAGGCAATACTTGAATATCAATGAGATGCTCACTGGCAACTGGCTTTATTCAGGTAGGTAGTTACCTGGGGTTCTAATGGGAAGTCGTGACCAGTAGGGTGCAGCGGGTCGGGTGTGAGGACAAATACTCGCCGAAGACATTGGCTAGCGGTTGCGCTATATCGTGAATTGGCAGAAGTTACAATTCATGGGCCATTGGATCGGGTCCCAGTGGCTTAATGGTCTACGAGCTCACTCGCCTTGTAACCCCGGTGGGTGGGTGTACTGCTGAAGAGTCCCAAACCAGGACGAAACAGCTGTGCAGTACTCCCAGCTAGTTTTCCAATGGTTGTCTAACCAGTGTCAGCTCATGATGAAATCCTGTAACCAAATATAATGAGTGATGACTGAAAGAGAAATGAAGATTTGGATTGCAACAAGCTTCGAACTAGAGGCCTCTATGAACTACTAACAACTCCCGTGGCTCTACTAGCAAAACTAGGAGCCTCAGATGGAGAGACAGAATAGAGTTTAAGATGGTTAATCATTCTATACGAATGTCAATATGGCAATATTCACATTTCATCTTTGAATGACTTTATAACGGGGAACGACATTTCACAGACTGACATAACAAGAAATGGTGATGCCTTTTTGTTTTCTCCTTAGTGTAAATACCATGAATCAACTTTGCAAGCAGATAATGAATAATCTCACACACAACCGATTCACTTGATTAGTTTGAACAAAAAAATTATGAATATATGTGCAGGATGATATGAGCTAGCCTAGTTTTTTCGCGGAGTCTTATCAACTGGATACAACCTGAATAACGTCAATTTTTAAGTAATAAAACGCTTGTAGATGCAACGATGACGTGGTGGTTAGGCTTGTATACATCACGATGACACTCAGAGAACTATAACGCCTGGAGCTAATGTCCCTGTAGTTCTAACTAGGCCTGGAAACGGTTACCATCGTAGTGCAAGTTATTTACACTATTCAAGTGTTGGTTTGCAGGGATTTGATTTGATTGGTTTCAGGATTTCATCATGAACTCAAATCGGTTAAAGAGCCATTGGACAACCTGCAGGGAGTGCTGGACAGCGAGCTGTTTCGTCAGCCTAGTTTGGGACTCTTCAGCAGGACGAGTCCTCTGAGGTTCGAACCCAGGACCATCTTGGTTACAATGAGAGCTCGTAGACCATTAAACCACTGAGACCCGACCCAACGGCCAGTCCATGAATTCCTTCTTCTGCCAATTCCCGATAGAGCGCAACCACTAGCCAATGTCATCGGTGGAGAGTATCTGTACTCCCACCCGACCTCCTATACCCTATGTTAGGGATCGGCGGGCAAATTTGATTTGCTGGCAGACAGGTATGTAATAGCAGTAAGGTGTTTCAATGGAATGACTAAAAATGAAAAAAATGAAGGAACCCAACTCTAGAGAACGATAAAAGTTAATCCTGAAAGTTGTGTGAATAAGATGATATAACCTTGAACAATAAATGCAAATCAAATTGCCATTCAGTGAATAAAAATAACCGTTTTAGGGAGAAAGAGGAGGCGAGACGAGGAATGGCTCACTACAGACACGTGAAAGCTAATCGAGAAGAAGGGGATGGTGAAACAGAAGATGAAGCAATGCAAAGATAAACAACAAAAGGAGCAGCTGAGCTTGGTATACAAAGCACTGAATAAAGAAGTGAAGAAGAAGAGTGCTAGGAAAGACAGAAGACAATTCTACATCACACTGGCAACTGTAGCAGAATAGGCTGGCTGCAGGTAAAAGAGACCTAAGAATATTGTATCAGATAACCAGGTCTGCACCCGGCAAAAGATCAATGCAGATAAAGCCTACTTAAGATCGATGGAATCTAATTACTAAACAGGATGAACAAAAAAAATCAGTGGACTGGTCACTTCAAAGGATTCTTGAATTGGCAATCACCTGCAACTCATTCAGAAATACCATCGACAGCACTCACAGAACTACCAGTGGACACCAGTCCTCCAACAAAAGCAGAAGTCTTGAGTGCAATCAAGGTACTGAAGGCAGCGAAGGCAACAGGACTGGACGGAATTCCTCCTGGAGCGGATCCAGAGACCGGAGAGGATATGCTGACGCCACTTTTGCAAAACTTTTGGAAGGGTATTTATTGATCGGAAGAAAGGTCACCTCATAACGATAAAAGACAAGAGACTTGGTAAAGGATTGTTTATTTGCAATTTGGTAACGCTATATAGCGAAATCATGTACACCTTATCCTCAGTGCACCATTTGCACAGATCTTCTGTGTTGTGCTACTTCTGGCCTTCCTTCATATTGTGTTTCTTTGTGTTCCTTTCACATCTACCATGTTTCTCCACGACTCTGAATCATTTGCTTTATCTGACGTCATATCTATCTCCCTGCTATTTCATAATTTTGTGCCGATGAACATATCTTTATATATACTACTGATAAATCTTATCAGTAACACACGCCACAACCATATCAAACTACCAAAGAAGGGCGACTTGGGCTTTGCAAGAACTAGCGAAGAATCATGCTGCTTTCTACGACCAAGCAAAATATTAAGCCACATCATCCTGGAAAGACTAAAGGATTCAATGGATGCAGAACTCCAACCGGAACAAGCTGGATTCAGGAAAAACAAATTTTGTGCCGATCAAATTTTTTCTATTATAGCTTGACTCCACACCGTATTTTTGGTACAAGTATGGAATTTTCTGCATGTGATATCGGTAGCCCAATTTTGCAGGCTGACCATTGACATCGGGTGTGGGTCAGCAGGTGATCGAACCCCGGACCATGTACATGGTCAGTGAGAGTCCTAACCGCTGTGTCACCGACGCAACTCTACGAATCATAATTAAACACAGCATAGAGCCTCAGTAAAATCTCTACCTCAACCTCATCGACTTTGAAAAGTCGTCGACAGCGTTGACTCCAAAGTGATTTGCAAACTGCTTCAACACTACGGAGTTGACCAACACATTTATCAATCTCATTCAACAGCTATATGATGATAATGCCACATGTCAAGTGATTCACAAAGGAAACCTCAACAGAGCCTCTGAAATGAAGACAGGATAAGACAAGACTGCCTAATATATTCTTGACTGTGGTGGATAGGATCACGCTAAAGACTATGAGGAGCGAAGAATACAGTAATATGTTGAGCTAATAAGAAAACTTTGGAAGATATGTACTAATATTACACAAACTCGAAGACCTGAAAGCGAGAATCAACAAGTTGGCAGAAGAAGCAACGAGGACAAGACTTCAGTTGAACACTGAGTAAACAGAGGTGATGAAGAGAACCAACCAACAGTAAGAAGCACCAATCACTACCAATCAATGGAAGAAATTTGAACGAGGTCACTTCCATCTCTTATTTGGTCAGCATCATTTCAACTACAGGCTGTGCACGTATGAGAATGTCAAAGGGAGGAACGTAAAGGCAAGGCACAGACCATCACAAATCTAAGATCATGGGGGGAATCTGCTGCTATCAGAACAACCAGCAAGACTTGAATTTTCAACACTACTAATGTCAAGTCAGTCAGTTTATCTTCTATGTGTGTCAGAAACTTGGCACACGCCTCACCAAAAGCATTTCCAACAAGCCACTTCCGACTTTCACCAACAGCTGTCCTCATCGTTGCCTCCATTCTGAAGATCCGATACTTGGCCGAAAGGAACCGGCAACAAGGCAGTCTGGGAACAAACCAATGAAGAACCTAATGCTGAACAAATATCCCACAAAAAGGAAATGCAAATGGATCAAAAACACAAAGGAGGAGGCCTTCTTGAGCGATACCACTCATTAGGCCATCGCTCCAGTGGGACCCAAATTGAAGACAACGAGTCGTATATGGGTCTGACGGTGACGTGTAGGAGATAATCTGAGGAGGAAACAACACCTTACAGTCAGTCAATCGCGGAAACAGCTAGAAAGGACTCCAGAGAATAGGCTGAAATGGAGATGTACCGCTGAAGCCTTCTGTTTCACTCAGAACAGAAAAGAATAATAGTAATAATAATCCATGTTCATACAAAATTTAAAACCTGAATATCTTTATTTAATTCAATTTTAGGTATTCCCGTCGATTAATTGGACCGAAGTGCTCGGTCTCAGGTTGAAATGTCGACTTCTTGTGCAGATGCTTCGACAATGTATGGACACGTAATTAGAAGTTGATTGGTGGATGGTGGCTAGCAGTGGAATCCAGGATCAGCATGGACGTACCTGCATTCCCCAGGGAGTGATGATATCCCCACCGAGGCTTAAACCCAGTGTACATAGTTTTAAACGCCACAACGTTATCCAATAGACCACTCACAGCCGGAACATCATCACTCACTGCGGAACGCAGGTACATCCAGCTGGAGGACGAGCCCCAAATAGGACGAAATGCGCATCCTGGTGGATTCCATTGCTAGTCACCATCCACCAATAATTATCTGAATTTAATGAAAACAAAACACGTAGATCAGCGAAGAGTCTCTTTTCGGCGAATTCATCTTCTTAGCTGTACAATCGCAAATATATATGCATTGTTTTGTTTGTATGTGTACATTACCAACCTTCACTTGTTTAGTTAAAATTAACCTTAACCAATTGTAACTTTGTTTGACAAACTTAATGTACACATACAAACAAAACAATGCATATATATTTGCGATTGTACAGCTAAGAAGATGAATTCGCCGAAAAGAGACTCTTCGCTGATCTACGTGTTTTGTTTTCATTAATGCCTGGATGGGGATTATCCACGAATTATCTGAATATCTATCTTACTTAGTTTTACCTTCTATTCCACCCCTTATTATTATACAAGTTCATTGTTTTCAGTCTAATTTTCTATGTTGATTTGGTAAGATTTTAGTTAGTTGTGTGTGTTTGTGTTTCTGTGTTCATTAATTCTTTTGTTCTCGTAATCATAATAATAATATTATTATTATCATTAATAACAATAATAGTAAAATTGAGTCAACTCTACCAACAAAAACTAGTAGCTATGTCCTATCTCTCCACCCACCAACCCACACACACAAATGAGCACAATGTGAATTCATTAAAAATGCTAATATATATATCAAATGATCACTATGATAATAGAAATGTGTTTAGTATGCATGCACTGTTTATGTACACAATACACAATACATTTGACACCTTCTTGTTTTACTTTTGTCCATTGTGTTTTCTTTTCTAGTGTCTGCTTGTGTGTGTGTGTGTGTGTCTGTATGTGTGTTGGCAAGACAATTTTTAATGTAATACAATTTGTTTTACTCTATTCTTCTAATGTGAGCCTAGTCACCAAATATAGGTAGACGTCTCACTCTCTCTGTCTGTCCCTACCCTAACATTAATTATGAGTGGTTGGTTGTATGGCAATATGGTGGAAATTCTCGCGTAAATGCTAAGCAGTAAGGGGAACTGTGATAAACCTGTCACTGTTGGTGCTTCTGTCCACTTGGTAACTGGTCTTAAACACCTGGGGGCTGAAATGTCAGTCATGAAAACAAGACTACTCGCATCATCCCTTGTTATTTACAGTTGGCTATCCGCAAAGGACGTTGGTTACTCAGTAGTGGTAGGATGCTGCTGCTCACCAACTACCCATGCGATCAAGAGCTTGATTCTTAAAAAGTACAATCCTGAATCCAGCTTATCCGGTATTAAGCCCAATGAAAAGGGGAAGGTTGGTCGTGAGGCTAAGAAGCCCACTCAACTACTATGAGGATATGAGGAGTGAAAAACCTACTCGATAGTGGTCTCCTGCTCACAAATCCAGGCAATGTTGTCAGTGTCTAAGACAGACAAGATGACGGTGCACCTGAATCGGTGTGTCGTCGGGCAGTCAGAGAATGAGAAACTTAAATGTTTGACTTAATTCAGTTTAAATTTTCCCATCGATTGATTGGACCGAAGTGCTCGGTCTCAGGTTGACATGTCGGCTTCTTGTGAAGATGCTTCGACGATGCCTGGGCACCTAATTAGAAGTTAATTGGTGGATGGTGACTAGAAGGGGAATCCAGGATTCGCATTTAGTCCCATTTGGGACTCATCAACTGAACGTACCTGCACTCCCCAGTGAGTGATGGTGTCCCCACCAAGGAGGATCTCGTGGCCCAGGTGTTCTGGTGGATAACGCTTTTGTGTTTTAAACTATGATCACTGGGTCCGAGCTTCAGTGGGGACATCATCACTCACTCGGGAATGCAAGTACGTCCAGTTGACGAGTCCTAAATAGGACAAAATGCGCATCCTGGATTTCACTGCTAGTCACCACTCACAAATTGACTTAAATGTTTAATTCTGTTAAGTTGTATAATATCTGATTCTGCTGGGTTTTAAGTATACTGTGGGTTGTCGACTCCTTTTGTGAGTGTGCCTGTGTGAGAGAGTGTGTGTGTGAATTCGTTGTTGTCACCACTTTGTTCATTCTACGTTCATTTCTTTGACTGAGTTATTTCTTAAATTACTACTTACAAACTTTTTGATTAATTGTTTTAAATTTCCCCCCGCCCTCCGCCGCAATATTAACCATCGTTACACACAGTATTCAAAAAACTTTCAAAATCAATTTTATCATTCCCTAGGACTTGATTCCTTCATTGCTTTGGTACAGGACACACTGTTGAATTGCTGTGCTCCGTCCGTTGTTTAGCAGAGGTAGAACTTCAGCATACTGACATAAATTTCTACCGTTTCCTCTGATATGACCTTTTTAACCCATTCAATTCAACACAATGTTCTGTACCGCCAGATTGATGGAGTAGTGGTTATTGAAAATCCACTGGGCCCAATTCTAGTAGACATTTTTATGGACAACCTAAGATAAACAAGGATGAATTCTGCAGTCAGTCAGACAGACTTCGATGTCAGGTATGTCTATGACATGTTTATCATTTGTGATTGTTTTAATGATACATCTCAAATACTAAACCTCCTGAATAGTATTCATCCTGCCACAAAGTTTACGATGGAGTGTGAAAATCACAAAGAATTTCAATTTCTTGACCCCGGTATCCAACGTGATATAGACAGTAAAGTCGTAGATGTAGCAAATTCAAATAAAAGAAACACCAGAAATCCTGCCAGGGAATTCCTAGAGGCCTGATACTCAAATGAATTAGCCAGCGATTAACAAACATATTATTATAGACCAAATTTATCAGCTAATAAAAAGTAAGTCATCACATGACAAAAAAATTCGAATTCCAGGTCAACAAAAATGATCAATAGAGATGCACATTCACAACCAGACACGAGGATGGTTGCCAGGAGATACAATTACATCATTCATGGAGAATTAAAATAAGTCCAGCTGTCCAGTACTCCCAGATTTTCCAATGGTTGTCTAACCAATGTCAGTTCATGATGAAATCCTGTCCATTTTATACTGAAACCTGCGCTGAAAGTCATATTAATATATGTGTAAAACTTGGGCACTGTGGTAGTGAGTAATTCCATTTTAGTTTGTTTGTGAGATGTGTTACACAGTGAGTGAAACAGTATTATTTACTGGATGACGTTTCGAACACAATTTATTGCTATTCATAATCTTATCAATAATTGATATGATTATGAACAGCAATAACATTGTGTTCGAAACGTCATCCAGCAAATAATACTGTTTCAGTGTCTGTGTAACACATCTAATAAACAAACTAATATGGAACTGCGCTGAAGGTGTTGTCTAGAAGAACGATGAGGATTTCTCAACTAAATCAACTAGCAGCGCAGAGGCCACAACTAATTGAATATCATCCACCTGAGCTACATATCTTCTCCATTATTTCAAAATAAAACTTAGCTTGCTGCTGCGCTTTTCTAAAGCAATAGCAATCAGATCAGTGAAAATAAAAACAACCCGATTCTATGTACACAGAAAGCGATAATAGTGAACTTTGCACTACTGCTTAGGTGATTCAAACTTACAAAACAAAGTTATGCAGTTTTTATTATTTCATGTATTCTTTTACTACATTTTCTCTAGCATTTGGAAAAAATTTTGTTTCATCTGAACGTCACTCACCTAACTCCATTCTTACTATTTTATAAAAAAACCTATTTTCTGTAGTTACGTAACCTATTGTGTTGATTGATATACATGCTTACTTGGTAAACTTCATTTGTACCAGCCCCTCCTCCCTCCGAAGAAAAATAAAAAACTTTGGACTATGTCATTTTGCTTTTTTGGGAATATTTAGTCTAATTTTCCCAGAATTAGTCAACCCTTTTCATTTTTCAATAATTTAACATCCTACATCATTCTGGACTTATCTTAATTTATATGGTTCCTATAAATAACTTCTTGTCGTCTGCGTTAAAAAAAGGATTTTCATCCAATCTTTTCCAATCCTGATGTTACAGGAGGAGGAAAGGTTGGGCATGAGGCTAGCAACCCCATCCTGTAAAAATAATCACCATTGCTACAAAAACTTCAAGCCACTAGCTTGAAGCCCTATGTTCCATTGGGAACGTGAAGGAAAAAAATTCATAGGGGAGTTCCAGTAATTTAGCGATAGGCTATTATTATTACTGCTTTTCCCTTGGGGTTCCGAGTGGAATATAGGACTTCAGCAGAACATCTTCATTTCAACCTGTTCTCCGAAGTAGTCGTCTTTAGTGAGGTCCGCAATTGACCATAATCTTCCATCTTGTTCATGTCACCCTTGGACGATTAACTCGCTATTTCCCATTCGGGTTCTAGTAATGAGATGGCCTGACGCGCGATATCACTCAACGGTCTGTCCGATCCGTCTCCACCTTTATCGGCATATTTGCTGGATAATAGGTTCTTCATCAGTCTGTTCCCGGATTTCCTTGGTGCTACTTCCTTTCGGTCAAGTATCTGATCTTCAGATTCAGTATGGAGGTAGCGATGAGAACAGCTGTTGATGAAAGTCTGCAGTGGCCGGTTGGAAATGCTTTTGGTGACGCGTGTGTCAAGTTTCTGATCCACATAGAAGAAAAACTGGCTGACTTTTAGCTGTTGTTAAAAATTCACATCTTGTTCGTTGGTCTGCTTGCAGCAGATTTCCACCATGATTTTAGATTTTTGATGGTCTGTGTCTTGCCCTAACGTTCCTACCTTTGACATCCTCATACGAGCACAGCTTGAAGTTGAAACGATGCCGACTAAATAAGAGGAAGAAGTGACCTCTTTCAAATTTTTTCCACTGGTTACGATACATATATCAACTCTATGTATATATACATCTTATGTGGTTGATAGAAGTCAGCAGAACAATCTAGAATCCGGGCGTTTCATCCTATTTGAGACTCTTCATCTGGACGTGTACAGCTACATTTCAATCAATCGATGGGGAATACAAAAAGTAAGCTAAATAAACCTGTGCATTATATGAAAATTATTTAACTTACGTATATAATTTGAACTATAAATAGTACAGTTGGACATAGTCTCAGGATCAGTAACAGATCTTTTGCGTGGTAAAACCTGAGCATACAAATGACTAGAGGGAGTTGTCTAGAAACAAAAAGGAAAACAAAAAGGTGGAGATAAATAGAAAAATTCAGACGATATATTTGATTGTTTTGAAACAAAATTGTGTTCCATACACGGGATCAACTCTAAGTGTTAGTAAGTGTTACTTAACTACTACTCAATAAGCCATACCTTTGATTGAACACTACTAGTAACTAGTCGGGTGTGTCTAGTCCTTTCTTTGGTGCAGAGTGAATTCTATCAGTCAGGTTTGCGATGTGGCCACCATACCACTAGGTAGCTCGCCATCACGGTGTACATTGATTTGATGACATTAGATGGTTGGAAGAAATTGGCAGGAAGCTCTGTACTTAGGTTTTGTGTTAGTTGGCGCTCACCAGTCAGTCAGCAAGGCATACCTGCAACCTTGAAGGAACTCATGTCCCTTCTGAGATTCAAACCCGTGCCACTCCCTTCAAGACTGCAGATATGCCTTGGTGACTGACTGGTGAGTGCCAACTAACACAAAACCTAAGTCAGGTGAGGCTTCCTGCCGATTTTCTCCAACCATCTAATATCATCAAGCCATACCTTATTGTGTGAAGGATACTGATACTAGGTAGTTGCCTGAAACAGACACCCACCCTACGGCTGAAAGTCGAGAAAAAGAGAGAGAGAGCAGCTTGACTAATAAACAACAATTCCACCAAGTGAAAAAATCCACGTGTTTTCTCCTAGCTTGAGAGCCTTCTGACGATCCTATAGGTGAATGAGTAATATATTAGAGTTCTATATGATAGCTGGTTGGTTTGAGTGTTGATGGAAACACCGTTCATGACAGGTAACCTTCTTTAGTCAGTTATCAATATTGCATAACCATTAGGAGAGTTGAGATTGAATTTCTGGTGTAGACGTAATATCTAGCTGGTTATCAATCAGAGGACATGTGGACTGCACAACAGCTCGCTCCGCTACTCCTTTATTACTGTCAGCTAAGGCCAGTAAAAGTGGAAGACATGAAAAGGCTACCTAGATTTGACTATAGATGTTTGCGTTCTATCTGCCATGGCGGTTAGGCGTAGAATTTTAGGTAAGAATGGTACGTCGATCGATGAGCTTGTGAAGTTACACAGATTCAGATAACTAAGACTCGTATTGCACAAGCCGATAGTCATCGTCTTCCTCTCTATAGACTATGTTAGTCAACACAGGGTTAGGTTGGAAAAGAGTTAGAAGTGATCACACCAATCCACTAAAGTCTTAGACTGTTGGTTTGAGCCAGCCATGTAAGGGAAGTGTAGACTACCTACCTGGTTGGAGTGTCCTCGGGATCTTAAGAACCAATATAATTGAAGAATATTAGTAATACCGGCTTACAATCATTCTCAGCGGCGCAGATGTATTCACCCTCTGTGATCTCCCACATCTAGCAAACCCTATTGTTTCTCCATGTGTTACCACTACTCTTTCTCCCTCATATTTCTGTCCACCAGTTTCTTTTTGAATCGCTTTTATCTACACCTTGTGTGCTACATACTAACTGACTGGTTTCAACATAGAACTTTGCACCGATGTGCAGCAGTTCAAGTCACCACACTCCACTTAGCACATGAAGCGAGAGAAAGTAAAAAGAGATCCAAAAAAGATATATGAGGCAAAAGAAATACTAATACGCAAGAACTATACAGTTTTTTGTGGATATTATAAGTCGCAAGGTGCGGATGCATCTACTCCAGCAACTGACAACGATTTTTAGCCATATCACCACCAATAGTCTTCAGCCTTCATTGGTTCTTACCATCTCGAGGACCCCAACCAGACTGGCAGTCTACACCTTCCGGCATGGCTGACTGGCTGGCTTAAACTAACTGTTACGAATTTCACTGACTGATGAAGCCATGTTTCGGTTTGACCACCACTAGCTAACTCTCTTCCAACCAGATCCATCCTATGTCAGCTAACATTGCCCACTGTTGCGGAAGGCGATCTATGGCTAGGGATGCATGTGTAACACATGTCCTAACCATCTTTCTCAATCAGTGTAACTTCACAATCTCGTCGATTGACCAACTTTACCTCTCTACCTAGCACTCGACGCCTAACCAACTCAATATTACTCCCCCTATTATACCACCACCTGACATGGATATGGAACGCACACACCTATGATCAAAGACAGTTAGCTAGCCAGTCTTTTCATATCTTTTAATGGCCATGTCTCACTCACAGCCATAAAGAAGGACGGAGCAGACTGCTGAGCAGTACACACACACCCTTTGATCAAGAGTCAGCCGGATTCACGTCTACTGAGCCAGCGGTGGCGTAAGTTGCCGAATGCCAAACGATTTTTCTGTATCCGTGCTGAGATTTTGTCAGTGATCAACCCTTCGGGGATGATGCAACTTCCCAAATATGTGAAGTAAGTGGTTAACACACTCCACCAACCACTTCACTCCCTATTTCTGAGCTAGGAGTCAGCGTAATCCAGTTCACTTCTGTACCTTCATCATCTTACATTTTGTGGGAGAGAATTGCATGCCAAACATTTGCAGATTGCAGCTAAAGCTGTTCAGAAGACTCAGCATTATGTCAGCGTCTTCAGCATATTCTAAGTCAACGAGATTATTCCCTGGTGGTAACAAGTCAATCCCTAAGTCGCTGAAGTCAGTTAAGGTTAAGTTCATTTGTTGTGTTCTGCATAACCGTGTGACAACTTAAACCTGCTACACTTTTGTTCAAAATTCTACATTAAACGTCAGTCCGTCAGTCTTTGGATATTTGCAATGAACAAAAGTGTCAAACAAAAAGCCTTACACAAAATCAGACTTACACAAGAGCATATACAGCAATCTCCACGATTTCCAGGCATTTGAGAAGTTGCTTGTTGTTTGCCTGAATGACATTTACAAGGAAAATTGTTATTTACACCGGCACCACCAACAGCACAACCATCACCACAACTTGGCATATTTGAAATATCTGTAGGAAGTGTAGTTGCAGTCACAGATGTTGCTGCTCCTGTTGTTGTTGTCAGCATGGTTGCCATAGCATTGGGAGTAATAGCAATAGGATTAGTAGTAGTAATGATTAACTCGCCATACGGGTTAACTTTACCACTGCTATCATTGACACTATTATTATTGTTTTTATTATTTTTACTATTCTCATTGGTCACATCACAATCATCATTTAATTGTGAGTAATACGGTGATTGACAAATTTCATATCCTAATATATACAAATATACATAAGTAGAATAATAGAAAAAGAGATTAGAGATCAGAAATCAATCAATAAATTCAGAATCTTACATCACCAACAACAACATATAAATAAATAAGTAAAGATTATGCAAACATACACGTGTAGGAGGTGTGATGGATAATCTGTCAAATAATGTTTAAATGTTCAAGTGTTTGTTGGCTTGTGCAGATTTAATTGATTGATTTTGAAAGTTAGATTTCATCTTATGTAACGATGTAGTGATACGGTGTGGCCTGTTTAAACACTTGACTTGGGGGCTACTAGAATTTCCGTCAATCTATCCAGCGCAAAATGCTGTTTAAAGTCTCTTTTTTGTTCTCATTATATTGCAATTATATTAAATGACCAATCACACTGCATGGATGAATTCACAAGCATATTTATATTATTACTATTATATAATTGTTTCCTTTAATTCCTAGAGGAACATAGGGCTTCAAACGCACGTCTCCATTGCGTGTTCAGTGCTCTGCCAACGTTTTCACCTGGCTCCAACGTCTGCCCACATGCTTTCATCTCCTTTCCGCATCACCTCCTCCTACATGTCACTCTCACACTGACGACCAAATAACTCGCCGCTTCCCATTCGGGTTTCACTCGAGCGATGGCCTGGTGTGTGATGTTATTCACTTGATGGTTTGCTTTCTCAGAGTACGGCCAATCCACCTACATTTCTTCTACAGTTCTACAGTTGGTTTCTGCCGGGTTGGTTCGTTCATCGCCAGAGATACGTGTTGCTGATCTTTTCTGGCTGGCCATCTGACCTTGAGTAGTATTGAGCGAAAAAAGCTTTTGATGAATGTCTGTGATTTGTTTAAAGTGTCCTTCGTGATGCGGCACCAAGTCTCTGATCCGTATGTATAGAAGCACTGACTTTGCATTGGAGTTGAAAATCCGGATCTTATTTTTCATGCTGAGTGCTGCTGACCTCCACACAGACTTGAGAGTGATGACTGCTTGCTTTGCTATCCCGATCCTCGCTTTGACATTCTCGTCAGTTCCGTCCACATGTAGTTGAAACGATGCCTTCCAAGTAGGTGGGGGAGGTTTCTTCTTTCAGATTTGGGCTGACTGTTGTCTGTTGCTGTTGGCCGGGAATCTTTATCGCCTCTGTTTTCTCCATGTTCACCTGAAGTCCTATTTCCTCTGGATGCTTCTTCTGCCAACTTGTTGCTTTCCACTTGCACATCTTCCATTTTGTGGGAAATCAGACATATATCATTGATGAAGTTCAGGTCTACCAAATTGTTTTTGTGTAGGTCCATTTTATGCCTGTCTCCTTGTTGCCCGCTAACTGTCTGTCGCACTATCCAGTCTACCACCCGCAATCAGAAAAATCATTGGGAATAGTAGGCAGCCAGCTTGTCTTACTCCCGTCTTCACTTCAAAGGATTCTGTGAGTTTCCCGTTGTGGATTACTTGGCATACAGCATTAACGTACAACTGTTGGATGAGGTGTATAATTGTTGACGGCACCCTTTGGTAGTAGCGAAGTAGTTTCCAAATCACCTCTCGATCAACGCTGTTGAATTAATCAGCTCCCAACTAAATACACTGTGCGATTCTTGGAGGAAATGAAGAAGAAGAAGAAATGCACAGAATTGTTTTTCTTTTCAAATGAGACAACACTACGTCACGTGATATACTTGAGATTATAAATTGACATGTATATCGTATATAAGGAGGAAATATTTTGGAATTAAAAACGCTGAAAACCTCTGTACTGCATGTCTGTACATATTGTCTGAAATAAGTCACTATATTGAAGACTATTGAGTACAAGATGACCGTCTAGTCCCCAACTAAGGACAGCAGTGGGCACCCATGATCCCCGTCAGGGAACGAACCTGGGTTACAATGCGTTGGAAGTCTTAGTATAAGGTTGGTGGAATGATTTCAGGAGACTACAACTAGCGTTTCCCTGCTTCAAGTCGCTAGCCTTACTCTGGACAAAACGTTTACACAGTGTACGGAATGCTCAGTGTAATACCTTTTCTCTTCACCCAGGATCTTCAGGTAAAAGTAGCAGTCTATAATATATTTTTTATTCCTTTACGTTCCCAGTGGAACATAGGCGGCTTCAATCTAGAGGCTTGAGTTTTCGGTAGCAGTAGTGTTTATTTTTACGGGATGGAGTCGCTAGCCTCATGCCTAACCTTGCCTCTTGACCAGTCTTATTACTGGCTTAGTGAGGTAAATGAGTGCGTCGGCTAGGGATCGAGCCCCGGACCACCTATTTGGTTGGTGAGCATTCTACCGCTGTGCCACCGACGCCCAGTCTACAGTATATCACGTTGTAACAGTAGAAGACGCAGGCTGTATTCGAAATTTGGTATCTCTACATAGCCAAATGATGCACACCTTATCCGCAAATCACCATTTGCACAGATCTTCCGGGCTGTGCTACTTCTACCCTTCCCACTGTGCTTCTTTGTGTTCCTTTCACGTCTCTCGTGTATATCCACAACGCTGAATCATTTGCTTTCTCTGACATCAAATCTATCTCCATGCTATTTAATGTTTTTATCGCGATGAACATCTCTTTATATATATACATATACATATACTACTGATAACTCTTGTCAGTAGCACACGCCACACTGTGACGCATTGCTATTAGTTCTGGAGCACATATCAATCCCTAATGATATTTTTCCTTCATCTCTGAGAAAAAAACGTACCAGTAGTTTGAAAGCCAATTGAAAACGAGTGTGAGTACATTTTGCAATTGAAGGATATAATTGAATGGTTGGGACAATAAGAATTAGGGAAAATATTATGAATTGTGTTAGGTGGAAATTCAAGTAGCCCAGTGACTCAGGCAGGCCGCCATAATCACATACATGGTTAAGAGTAATGTGGAGAACACCTGTCTTTGGAATAGTATTAACAGTAAGAGTTGTCACACCATGGAAGAGTATTAGGGTGCTGTGTGATACCACAGAGATCAGGGGACAACTGCTTGAGACCGGTGTTCCACCCACAACCTGCTTGGAGAGGATTTTGGAGTTGTGTACATACACATAAAGACTTTATCGTTAGCTACGGACAGTCATAGAGTAAGTCAGAACATACTAACTAAGGGGTCGACTGTTTTTGAACCCACCCTCCTCCACCACACAGCGAAAAGGAATCACCTAACTGCCGTCACACACATATCTGCTCTAGCAGTACGAATATGTCCTCTGACCCCTAACACAGTGTTTAATCCCTGACTAAACCACATTTCAGGAGTGGCGAGACGCGCGGGTACATTCGCTTCAAACCACTTAGCTCTGTATCATTGCGACATGCAGGTCCGACCATCATCATGTCAAGGTTGCAGCTATATCGGGTCAGCAAAACAAAAAATGAAGGAACCAAGCTTTAAGGAGCGACAAAAATTGATTTTGAAAGTTGCATGATTACTTTGCCAGGGAAATAAGCAACACATTTTACTTGAAGTATCATTCACCAAATGACATTCTATATGCCATCTTTTCCTAAATCAAATAAACAAACTTATAACGAACTGAATCTCATCTCAGTTTACCACAATTCGAAACATTTCAAGAAACATAATGTCAAGAGTTAGGACATTACTTCTGTCAATATTTTAAGTTTAGACAGTAGTCAAGGTGATGGAACAAGCACTCCTCACGCCCAACCCCCTCCACCCGCATCACCCGTCCTTTCTGGGCTAGGTGAGGTTTAAGAGCACATTGGCCAGGGAATGAATCCAAGCCGTGTGTGGATGGCGACCATTCTGTGTCAGTGAACCACCAGTCACGCGGTGAGATTTGATAATACAAACTTAACTAGGTAAAGTTCAACAGTTAGTTTATAGGGATTTGATTCGTTTCAAATTTGATGACTCACTAATATCAAGTCACAGAACCTTTGAAAATCAGGGAGTACTGGACAGTTGTTTCACCCCAGTCTAGTATTCTTCAGCAGTACACACCCGTAACCCACCTATCCAAGGATCGAATCTAGGGGACCCTTTAGGCTACATGGTAAGCTTGCTGACCATTTTGGCGTGAACACCAGCCAATGTCATCCGCGAGTGTCTGCCCTCACATATCCCGACCTGACCGACGTCCCCCCGCCGCTAGACACGAATTCCCACTATAAATCCAGGAAATCCAGGGAGTCGCTAGTGCGTTCTGGTGAGATGTTGTAATCAGTGAGGTTCACCAGGTCGAGTGTGAGGACAAATACTCGCTGATAGCATTGGCTGAAGTTCACACAAAAATCGCCAACTGACAGAAGTTAGAATTCATGGGTCATTGAATTACAGCCCAAGTGAATGAATGGTCGTCAGCTAGCTTGGCCTCATAACCTGAAGGTCCCTGGTTCGAAGTCTCAAGAAGGACCGTGGGTGTGTTCTGCTGAAGAGTACTACACCAGGATGAAAATACTGTCCAGTACTCCCTGGCTTTCAATGATTCTTTAGCTAAAAATTACCAAACTAAATCAAGATGGACGCATATCAATAGCGAAGAGTTCTACCAAACACACACACACAGACAGACGACATGACAGAAACACAGAATATACTACAAAAAGTATACAAAAACAACAACAACAACAGCAAAGGCACTTACTTCTTTGAGCATTACTATTGACTTTGGTATTTTGTAAATCTCTTCGTAAAGTACTGCTACTGCTACTACAATTCGCAGCAGTAACAATGACAGATGAAGTGGTAGATTGTGCAGTTGCAGGAGGAGGAGGAGGGGGAAGAGGTAGAGGTAGTGGTGGTGGTGGAATAGACGGCGGAGGTTGATTAACACTTGCATACAGCCCGTCTGAATCGGAAGCAGCATCATCACACAGTGATGAATAACATCGACTATTCGATTCAAAACTATTTGTTTGCAGCTTAATTCGTTGTTGTTGTTGTTGGTGGTGGTGGTGGTTGTGTAGCTTAGGTATAATAGCGATATCATATAGATTTTGATCATTTTCTATTGATCTTTTAACAGCTGGTACTGAATAATACGTTAACTGATCACTAATATCCTCTAGGGTATCCTCTTGTTCATGATTTATTATTGTCTTTATCGGTTTATTCTGAAAATATAATAGAGGGAGGAGAGGGGTGGGGGTGGAGAACAATGACAACAATTATTGAGTAGTTATTTGTTTAAATGTATAATGGCATAAAATAATATATGCGTTAAAACAATCGACTGAGCTTTACATCCATTATATAATAATAGAGCAAATAATACATACAGCGAGGCGTTCGAATTGCATACAGTAGTAAGACAAGACTGGCTGCCTATTATCACCCATGATGATATTCTTAATTGTGGTGGACTGGATTATGCGTCAAACTTTGGGGAGCGAGCGAGGAGTTAGGAATACGCTCGATCACTGATAAGAAAACTCTAGAAGATCTGGATTTCACAGATGATACGTGTCTAGTGTCACACAAACTCGAAGACTTATAAGCGAAAACCAGCAAACTGGCAGAAGAGGCATAAGAGGATTCTAGGTGAACATAGAGACGACGGAAGTGATGAGGATAACCAACCAACACCAGTACCAACAACAACAACCATCACCAATCACCATCAACGGGAGAAATTTCTAAGAGGTTACCTCCCTCACTTATCTAGGCAGTAAGCATTATTTTAGCTACAGGCGGACAGCACGGGTGAAGATGTCAAAGCAGGCCAGTCAGAATCGGAAAGACAATATATACCTTCATCAGTATGAATCCAGTTTGGAAATCTGCTGCACTGACTTAGCATAAAGAACAAGATTCCGATTCTGTTCAACAAAAATGTGGGGTAGGTCACTGCTTCTATACGGGTCAGAAACTTGGCGTCAGCGTCACGAAAGGGATTTCCAACAGGCTGCAGACTTTTATCAACAGCTGCCTTCGCTCCATTCTCAAGATCAAAAGGCCAGCCAGAAAGAAATAGTAACAAGAAACTCTCGCTGGCGACAAACCAACAAGCAATAGCCGATCGCTTAACAAATATGTAGGAGATGGATCGGGGATACAGTAAGGGGGCGGTCGAATGACATCGCGAGTTAGGCCCTTGAGTGGAATCCAAATGGGAAGAGACGAGTGGGCCGTCAGTGCGAGGGTGACATGGAGGATATCGTGTGAGGAGATGAGAGATTATTGGCAATCGTGGACCCAGCTGAAGAAGATGGCAGAAAATAGAACGAGGTGGAGATGTGTTGTGGAATCCCTGTGTTCCACAAAATAAAATCTTATCCATAATGGAGTTATGCTCAACCACAGTGCCCAAGTTTTATACTTATATCGAGTATCAATACTGATACTCATTCAAATGACTATCGTTTAGGGTGAGAAGTTAGTTACAAGTTAGGAATAAGGTTATAGAATAGGTTTAAGACACACCTTCCACAGTCAATCTATTCTGTGAATCCTGAAGGTCATTAGTTATTAATAATAAATTTAATTTTTCTGTTATTACGTATGCAAACTTTGACTGGCTGTCTCAAGGTCATTGCTGTGCTCCTCTGCTTGGATCACTATACCTGTAACTTTGTCCATGGGTCAAAACACGACTGATGCTTATCCGGAAGTCATAGTCTCCACACATCTATAGATTATGAGTATGAACTACAACATTGACGAGTATCAAACTAAGTCAAGTGTGTAAAATACACCTTGGTTCCCAATGGTATTCCAGTCAATGTTGATTGATGATGAGACCTATCGATCGGAAAGAGACGTGATGCACCAGAAAATGCAAACCTGACAAAATTATCCTTCATCTCACAGAGGTAAGTCTGTCTGTCTGTTTCCTATATAGAAATTTGCACCGATGTACAGCAGTTCCAGTCGTCACACTCCATGTGACAAACAAAGCACGAGAAGAAAGTAAGGAGAAATGCAAAACAGAGACAGTAAACAGAGATATAAGGAAAAAAGAATAGTAATATCGAAGAACAATACAGTTTTATTGAGTATTATAAGTCACAAGGAGTGGATGCATCTGCACCAGCCATGGAGTACGATTTTGAGCCACATCACCAATTGTCTCCAGTCTTCATTGCTAATTACCGTCCCGAGGACCTCAACCAGGAAGTCTACGCCTTCCTACGTGACTAGCTTAAACTAACTGTTGTGGATTTCATTGACTGGTGCCATGTTTTGGTTTGAACACCACTAGCTTACTCTTTTACAACCTGACCCTATGTCAGCTAACATTGCCCACTGTCGAGGAAGGCGATCATTGATTAGGCATGCATGCGTAACACATGTCCTAACCATCTCGATCGATGTAACTTCGCAGCCTCGTCGATTGATTTCCCCTCCCACCAACCTAGCACTCAACCGACGCCTAACCACAATATTGCTCACCTTATTATACCACCTCACGCGGGAGATAGAACGCAGATACCTATGATCGAGGACAGCTAATCTCTTCATGTCTTCCGCTCTCAATAGCCAGGTCTCACAGCCATAAAGGAGGACGGAGCGGACTGCTGAGCAGTACACACGCCCTTTGGTCGATAGCCGTATATCGCGTCTACGCCAGAGACGGCGTAAACTGGCATATGCGAAACTAGCTCTCTGTATCCGTACTGAGATTTCGTCGGCGATCAACCCGTTGGGGCTGATGGTACTTCCCCAATAAGTGAAGCGGTCAACGTGCTCTACCACTTCACTCCCTATTTCTAAACTAGGAATCAGTGTAGTCCAGTCCTGTAACATCATCTTACATTTGGCGGGGGCGAATCGCATGCCAAACATTCGTAGATTGCAGCTCAAGGTATCCAGAAGACTCTGCATTTTGTCAGCGTCCTCGTCTACAAGGTAAGTGGTTTTCATCGGTTGACTACTCCTTCCTTTGCCTTTTCTACGATCAGTCTCAGGTCTAGGAAAACAGAATGGAAGTTGTTGAGATGGCATTTGTGACACCTATTCAAGCTGTCGAAGCTAGTATCTGAAAATAACATTATACACCGAGAGACGCTTTCCAAATACATGTCGTCGGACCAGAGAATTAATCACACAGTGTCGCTGAGATAAGCCTGTTGCACCACGGAGATAGAGATAATATAACACAAAGAATCGCCGTATATCTTATGTACAGAGAGTAAACTTGAGAGCACCGAAGCGCTGTAAATCCGACTTTTGTCAACTCAAACCAACATCGTAAGTGCCCTGGACATGCTGTCCTAGCTTTCATCACACGTTTAGAAATTTCACCCACCACACATCAAATAATACATAAACAACTACATAGATAGATAAGATCGTGAAACGACTATTCGATGTGAATCTCCATGTAACCTTCCGCTTCTCAGTATGACGTATTTCCCATTTTTTCCCCTTCTATTATTATTATTATTATTATTATTATTGACAAGGATGAAATGCTTTTTGAAATCGTAATATCCTGAAGTGTTTTTCACAACTGGGTTTAATCTGCACGTGTTGTGTAGAGATACACATAAAAGGCGAAGAAGACAAATTGTATGAACATCAATTAGTAAGCATTCATGTTGTTCTTAAAAATAAGGAATTGGACCAAACAAGTCAGCGACAGACACAGTGTGAAGCATTTATTTCAATGTCATCATCATCAATAGTTAGAAAAATGATGTCAACATACTTCAATAAAATTTGTATCCGAATATGTAGGCACCGGGGGAAGTTCACAATTTCTATGGGAGTTACTTTCTTGCCTTCAGATAGAAAAAGATAAATAAACAAAGAGAGAGAGAGAGAGAGAGAGGAAACGTGTTAGATGGTTAGAAGTCATTAACAAAAAAGTTATAAAATATGGGATATATTCACAAAATATTTAAGCAAAATTATTAAAAAGAACTTTAGAGCTTTACGGCAAACTTAGTTGGTTAGATAGCGGTCAGTTGCCCACTGCAGGGCTATTACAATATTATTATTCCCTTGGGTTCAGTGTGGAACATAGAGCTACAGTGGTATATCTTCATTTCTTTCTGTTCTTTGTAATCTTTTCCCTAGCTGGTTCCACAATTGTGCACAAGCTTTTATTTTCTCCTCAAGTGGTTGACCCCCTCTCCCCCCTAGTGTCAGTTATCCAACACCCAACTCGTTGTTTCTCACTCGACAGTCTCCTCAGTCTACGTTCAATCCATCTCCATTTCCTTCCGCAGCAGGTTCTTTGCTAATTCATTGCTTATCCATTTCCGTCTGAATTTCGGTATCGAGCGAAGGTAGTTGGTCAGTTGTTGACGACAGTCTGTGGTAGCCTGTTGGAAAGACTTTTCGTGCCGCATCGCGTATCTTGTCCAAATTAGTGTTGAGAATTCTGATTCTGTTCCTTATAATGAGTGCAATCGATTTCATAGTAATGAAGGTTTATCGTGCTTTTACGATATAGCCTTTGACATCTTCATATCTGTTAGAGAACCACTGAGAAACCTCGGAGTACTGGACAACTGTTTCGTCCCAGTTTGGGGCTTTTCATCAGTACGCACCCAACGGGGTTCAAAAATTGATCTAATGCTAACTAGCGAATAGTCTTATTCAGGCAGTTACCTGGGGTTCTAGAGGGAAGTCGTGATCAGTAGGATACAGCAGTTTGAAGGTGAGAACAGTTACTCGTCTAAGACACTGCAAAGTGGTCACGGTATGTCGTCAATTTGCAGAAGTTAGAATTCATGGACTGGCCATTGGATCGGGTCCCAGTGGCTTAATGGTTTACGAGCTTGCCATGTAACCAAAAGCTCGTCGGTTCGAACCCAGGAGGTGGGTTCGCGCAGATGAAGGGCCCCAAACTAGGACGAAACGGCTGATTGCCCAGTACCCCCTGCAGTTTTTCCAATGGTTCTCTAACTGATGTCAGCTCATGATGAAATCCTCCAACCAATCAAACAAAATCCCTACAAACCAACACTTGAAAATCTTCATATCTGTACCGCCTGTAGTTGAAATGATGCTGCCCAAATATGTAGAAGTCATCTCTATTAGATTTCGCCGGTTGATTGTAAATGGTGCTTATTGTTGTTAGTTGGGTATCTCCATCACTTTTGTCTTATTGTATCCACCTGCAGTCCTGTTTTCGCAGCTTCTTCTGCCAACTTACTGGTTTTCGTCTGTAGATCTTCGAATTTGTGTGATAATTAGACATAAATAGTCTGCGAAGTTTAAACCTTCTAGAATCTTTCTGTCTTCTTGTTCCCCAAGGCCTACCGCATGATGCAGTCCACAACATTCAGGAATGTAGTCAGTGATAGTAGATAGCACTGCCTTACTCCTGCCATCACTTCAAAGACCTCACAGAGTTCTTTATTGTGAATCATTTCGTATGTGGCATCGCCATATAGTTGTTTAATGAGGTTGATAAAGCTTTGATGGCAATCCTTAGTGTTGAAGCAGTTTGCAAATCACTTTGGTGTTAACGCTGTCGACGGCTTTTCTAAAGTCGGTGAAATTGAGGTAGGTTTGTCATGCTTTCCCGATTGTGACTGGTTCTGACATCTTCATATGTCCTGCCTATAGTAGAAACGATACTAACCAGACACCGCGCTATAATCTACACTTGTGTCTGAGGGTTAATTTTACTGTCCAGTTGTCCAGCCGTGTTGAAGCAGATGGAGCAGGATTCGAACTCGCGACCCGTAGGCTGAAAGTTTAATGCTAAAGGACAAAGGAATCACATCTGCATTCGTGGCAATGTAATGACAATCTGGGATCCAATAATTTCTAAATTCAAATCAGCTATCCAGTGTGCATTTGAAAAACTTTTCTAACTCAGAGAAAAAAATTTTGTAAAGCAGAATAATGGTGTTTAATTAAATTACATATATATGTGGCTCACTGGGTAAAAAGACACTCGGCTTTCAGTAACAATGAGCTTTGTCAGTTTCGAGAAGTTGCAGCAGCCAACGCCAGAGGGGTTGATCGCTGATGAAATCTCAGCATAGATACAGAAGGTTCGTTTGGCATATGCCAACATACGCCATCTCTGGCTTAATAGACGTGATTTACGGTTATCGACCAAAGGACTTGTGTATTGCTCAGTATTTCGCTCTATCCTCCTTTAAGGCTGTGAGTTAGACATTGAAAGTAGAAGACATAGAAAGGCTAGCTGTCTTTGATCATAGTTATCTGCGTTCTTTCTCCCCTCTCATGTTAGGTGGCATAGTAGGGTGAGTAGTGTTGAGTTGGTTAGGCGTCGAGTGCTAGGTAGGGAGGTAAAGTTGGTAGACCGACGAGGTTGTGAAATGACATCGGTTGGGAGAGATGGTTAGGATATGTGTTACGTATGCCTAGACATCGCCTTCCTCGATAACGGTCAATGTTAGCTGACATAGGATGGATCAGTTTAGAAAAGATCTAGTATTGGTTAAACCAAAACTTATATTGAGTCCCTGAAATCTTTAACACTTAGTTTGAGTGACATAGGGAGGTGCAGACTGTCGGTCTGGTTGGGGTCCTCAGGATGCTACAAATCAATGAAGGCTAGAGACTAATAATGATATGACTCAGAATCGTCGTCAATGGCTGGCACAGATGCATTCACTCTTTGTGATTTTTCATATCCAATCAAAGTACTCTATTGTTCTTCCATACTACAATGCCTTTTCCCTCATTCACGCTTCTGTTTATTATCTCTCTTTCGGTGAATCTCTCTTTACCCTCTTCTCTTGCTTTGTGTGCTACATGGAAGGAGAATGGTAACTCGAACTGCTGCACATCTGTACAAAGTTGTATGGTGAAACTAGTTAGTCAGTTTGCCAGGCTCGAGTTCATTTACACCTAAAACATCAGCCTGATCAACAAGGTAGTATCATCAATCAACACACGATAAGTGTACACTCTAGACTGATACATGGAAGATCTGTTTCGGATAATTCAATCTAATTAGAAAGAAAGAAATTCATACAATTGCAACTTCCCTGAGCAAGTGAATAAGTAGGGAGAGAGATCAATCAGACAAAGTCGGCTAAACAAAAAAAAACATGCTTAAGTAATAGACGTCTGAGGCGGTTATCCGCACTAAAACTAGATACATAGTAGACATGAGTTCCTCATTTATGTGTGAATAGATTATCTCAATGATTAGCGACTGAATGTTTCAAACTAAGGGTCAGTACTTAATTTTAAATTTAAAATCCGACAATATGTCCATGTGTGTGTGTGTGTTTATACTAGTGTACTAGTACTACCACCCCCACCCCAAATCTGATTATTTTATTAGTAACTATTATATAGTAACAATGTCACAGCCAATGTGTATCGTAGTATAAAACCAAACCATAGAATTCCTATAAATTTTTTTTTGTAACAATTAGTTGCGTGTCTAGAGTTAAGCTCTAAAAACACACACGAAAACCTAAGTAACAACAACACCAACAACAACAACTGGTAAATTGTGTAATGTATCTATACTGTCTTTATTTTTTTCGTCTAAGAAAACTAAACAAAAATATTTGTCTAGGTGTAGAAACCTGATACTGGTTACTTAGTCTCCTAGTGATGGATGGCTTAATATTTCCGTTATCAATCACTACAGGAGTTGTTTAATCATCACCTCGAATGGCATTACTGGTGATAATGATCAGGAGGGCTTCATGTGCTATTGGAAGTCTGTGGGCGAAGGTTATTACTTCCCGGCTGCCCACACCATGGAAATTGGTTTATTCTTCCGGTGCCTGAAACAGAAAGAGAATTAGCGTTGCGTGACCACAGAGCCCAGGGGATAACTGCTTGAAGCAGATCGGTCACACGAGGCCTGCATGAATTGGTTTCTTGGACTGGTTCTGTATTAGTAAATTTACCGCCGAGGTTACGGACCACCGTCTGCCTGGTTTCGACATAGGACTTTGCACCGATGTGCAGCAGTTCAAGTCACCACACTCCATGTAGCACACAAAGCAAGAGAAGAAAGTAAAGAGAAATGCATAATAGAGACAGTAGACAGGGGGGATATGAGACAATATAGTTTCATTGGAAATTATAAGTCACAAGGAGTGGATGCATCTGTGCCTGCCATTGACAACGATTTTGAGCCATATCACCGATTGTCTCCAGCCTTCATTGGTACTTACCGTCTCGAGGACCCCTACCAGGAAGTCTACACCTTCCTACGTGACTAGCTTAAACTAGCTGATGTGGATTTCATTGCCTGATGAAGCCATGTTTTGGTTTGACCACCACTAGCTATCTCTCTTTCAACCTCACTCTATGTCAGCTAACATTGTCCATTGTCAAGGAAGGCGATGGCTAGGGATGCATGCGAAATACATGTCCTAACCATCTTAGCCGATGTAACTTCACAGTCTCGTCGATTGATTTCCCTTTCCACCTACCCAGCACTCGACCGACGCCTAACTCAATATTGCTCACCTTATTATACCACCACCTGATATAGAGATAGAACGCGGGCACCTATGATCAAAGACAGCTAGCTAGACTTTTCATGTCTTCCGCTCTCAATTGCGAGGTCTCACAGCCATAGAGGAGGACGAATACGACTGCTTAGCAGTACACGCGCCCTTTGATCGATAGCCGGACCCTACGGACCACCGTAGGGTAAGTCGGGATGAAAAATTTTTGGCGTCGACCTTTACTAACCCTCTCTTTCCATAGTGGAGACAGCATGACTGACATGCTGGTCATCTGAGGGAAACACCTAGCTGCTGTTACATCCCTGTTCCCCAGCAGTACGACTTTGCCCACAGACCCCCCAGCATAGTGC